AAATGTCTTCAAATAAATTGAATAGTGATTCTGACAAATGTTTGTATAATAGTAATTATGTCTCATAGTTATCAGCTTGAATATAACTTCCAAGATCCTCAGGTAACTTAAAACTTTGGACTAATATTAAATTGAGTTAATTAATGGGTAATCATTGGATACCTATTTAATTGTAAGATTCAATACTGAAATACTGCTCACTCAGCATAATCTTATTTGCATTTGCTTCTTGTATTTATATACTATGGATGGCTATCTTTGGGTTATGTATTTAATGGACGTTCATTTTTGCAACTTTAAGGTTTCAAAGTTATGTGTATTCATGAGCTTTGCTATTCTGCAAAAGTGTTTCCATAGGACAGTTTTCAGTTCCTTTCCTGTGAGTTTTCTCAGTGAAATAGTTATATTGCTTAGTTTGTAATTAGCATATGTGAGATCAGGAAAAAATACAGACAGAAAAATACAATTAAGTATCAAGATAACAGAATAAGTTTGTTTTTCAAGGACAGAGTGTTTTGTCCTGAAGTGTCTATTTCTTCCAAAATATGAAAAACTTGAGGATCTAGAAGAGAGTTAAGAGTCTGAAAAGAAACTTACAAAATGTACTAAAAAATGTGGCAAAACTCCCCCAGTTTTGGTGCACTTATTCACAAGACAAGGAAGGGGAGGGAAGAGGGTATGAAAACTTTATTGTTAAGGACTACGTCAATACCAAACTAGAATTTGGTGTTCTCCATTAAAATAATAAATTGTTCTTAAAGAGCTCAAAAGAAGACTAAATTGCTCTTCAACTTCTGTATAATCTGCTCAGATAGATTTTCCCTATCTCATCAGAATAATTTGCTTGGCTTTGTTTTGACTTTATAATGTCCTTTATTATTAAAACAAAGACCAAAATTAAAGAAGTTTCCCACTTGGGAAAGATGCGTCACCTCCCCCCCCAAAAAGCAAATAAATCAGGAGGCTCTACAAAATAGCTTAGAAAAACAAGTTTTCTATTTATTTAAAAATAAGTTTGTAGTTACTACATTGCAGGGACAGGAATTCTTACACATACATTCTAGTTTGTATAAAAGGATTCAAAGAATTATGCATCAAAACTAACATAGAAAGTGTCCACATAACAGTAAAGAAAGGTCCAATCAATATGTACAAAAAGAAAGGGCACTGCTATTCTGGTGTGAGACTGCCATTTATAACATGATACTCCAGGTTTCTGGAAGGAAAAAAACAAAAACCTTAATAAAGCTAAATAATTTGTTTTTAAACTCTGTGTTACTTATTACATACAACAGATTTGCTTGTGTTTAACATTGTTTTCTGTACAAAATAAGTATAATTTTAATTTGAAAATGTGTCAGTTTCAACTTTAACCCTCTAGGTCAGTTACTTTTAAAAAATTGAGCTACATTCTACACGTCTAAATATCGTGTGACAGGATTTAACAGTTTTTCTAAAGGATCTTTAATAAAGACCTCATCTTCTTGCAGTTTTAATATGGTCCAAAAATGTAACTTTGTATTTTGCCTCCATTTATAGTTTACCATTGTGATTAATCAACACACACAATCTTAAAAGTAATGAGCATGATGTGTGTGCCTCTCTGCATCATATCGTGTGTACTATATATCATCTCAAACCTATTCTCTTAGCTCCTTAAATGTAGAAACTCATAGCCACCCACTATTATGTATTTGGTTTTGTGCCATATAAAGGTTAATTTCCTGATGATTTTATCTGCATTAAAAAAGTATTTCAACACAGAGCTATCAAAACTAAAAATAATATATATTTATAGCTCATAATATTTTCTAATTGTTTTACTGCAGTGTGTACAGGATTTATCTCTGGAGCGTCAAAAGTGGTACTTACAGTCTTCTGACTCAATTTGACCTCTTCTTGGTTACTATACATAGTACAAAATATCATTTGTAGTGCTTAGCTCCGTATAATTAAGAACATAAGTAGTTTCTTAGTAAACTCAGTTCAAATCACTTGGAAATTTGGGGAACTGAGGGGAAGTGCAAGGAGGAAAGTAAGGAAAAGGTGTATTTTTCTAATTTTAATAGGAAAATAAATTCTCACCTAAATATAACTAAACCACATCACAACCTGTTATGTAAAAAATACTTTCTTAAATACTTTCTTAGTATGGGGACAATTCACAGAACATAAAATTAATTCCCCTTTTATGACTTTTAAAATCATGTATTTCCTGCATATAAGGAGAATGCTTATAGCCCTTTAAACACTCAAGTATCTTGGTCCTTTCAACCTACTTAAAAATAAATTTCAGGTGAACAAAAACATTCAGAATAACAATTTGTTTTCATTAGATAGAAAACAAAATCAAAATTACTTCCAATTGACATGTGAGAGATACATAGGTATGTATGGATAAAATGGAATGCTAGAATTAAATACTAATACTATTAACTAGAGGAACTAATTTATAAGTCAGATTTTTAAAACATGTAAATGTGAATATCACATAAGCAAAAATGTTATTTGAATACATTTGTTAAAATGTCTGATTAATATACTACACTGCAGATAAGGGACAGTTCTAGATGTTAACACAACTGCTGCATGAGGATCTTTTTGCAGACCCGTCTATCTTATGCAATTCACTTCCAAGTGATACTAAATCTAGCTAAACTCCTATCTCAGATGTGACATGATCAAGCTCACAATTATTCTATACAGTTATTCTAATTAAATTTAAGGAGGAAGATACTTTCATAATAATGTTAACAAATAGTCTTCAAATTTGTGGTGAAGCTCTGCCAATAATAAAAACAATGGAAACAAGACCAACATTCTTTAGTACATAAATTTATGCAGAAAACAGTCTAATGACATAATAGCAGATTGCAAAGGATAAAATTTTAAGAAGGTATATATCTATTGCCCAGAGTTGTGAGGCTGTAATTAAATTGAATGTTTAAACTGCTCATTTGCAACATTTTATAACTTTATAAGATTTGACTGGGACTGGAGACTGTTGGGGTGGAGGGAGAGAATATTAGGGTTAGGTACTTAAAAATATATAAATTGATTTATATTTTCCATGTATTCTGAAACTTTCAATAAACTTGAGGTTTCTATTGCTCACCTAAGAAAACTGCCAACATTTCCTTTTGGCCTACAAAGAGTACATACATGGTGTCACTGTCTCAGGATATTTTTCCAATAGTTTTGATATTTGGTCAAACAGAACAAAAATATGATGATGACTTAAATTTCTCAATTCAACTTTTACAATGTATAGAAGCTAAATTATAAAAATATAAAATCTAAATATATCTGGCATTACGAAAACGTTTTTAAGTGTTTCAATTACAAAGAATCTGAATCCAAGCCATTTTTGCTTTACTAAGAAACCAGTGTCTAATGATGTCCAAATAAGGTCATAAATATACAGTGTCTTTAGAACAGGAACAGTACATTTACTTGTTGCAGGTGAGATGGTAAATATTCATGTCTTTGCTCAAGAGTTAGAACCAATCCACACATCACACTAGAGGTATATTCCACTCTAAGACTGTGTACGCTCTTCCTTTTTCTGTACACACCTTAAAACTATACACATAGTTTTTACAAAAATGGATTTATAGTCTATTATTTTTTTCCAACACAATGCAGATAACATCAGGAAATTACATGTTTCAAATAGATTGCCTTCAAAAGCAACAATTACTTTAATGACTTAAATCTCAAACATACACATTATTCTCAATAATGGTGTAACTGAAAGACTCACTTTACTATACAACCAAGCCATCCATTTCTGCATTATGAAGAGTTTAACTACTGAATTTTAATTATATAGTTAAATATATTTGTTAGAAAAAAATAAATATACAAAAAACCTGAAAAATTTGAAATTATTTCTCAACTGCAAAATCACAGCAATCCAGTTAAGATCTGGAAAATGGTTTACTTAATTTCACAGGAGGATTTCTGTACAAATTTAGTTACAAATGATCTAAAAAGCCCAAATGCATCACTTTCCATTGTTCTTCAATACAATTAAATGACAGCTAACATTTATCCCTATCAGAAACAAGTAAAGAAATAATTATGTAATGTATTTTGCCAAGGTTCAATTAAAGACTTTATTTTTCTACATCAGGGTCATGCTGATACATATTTTCCCATCCTCACTTTTTAAAAATGTAGTATCTGAAAATTTTGGTTACATTTTTGTACCATACCAGTCCTCAGAAAATACTACATTCTTTAAACTTTTTAAAAAATGGACAATAATTTTTAAACAATAGAAATGGTATTTATGTTGGTTTTTAAGGTATAAAATAACTAACTGTACCATAAACAAATAAATAACTGCTTTCCTTTTCCATAGCAGTACATATAGCAATACATTCTCCTAAGTCATATAGTTATCATTTACAATAGACAACTTAATTTTACTAATGATGCAAAAAATAATAGAATACAAGGCACAATCATTAAATGGAATTTTTCTTTAGGGTGTATATTGACATACCAGCGTGATAAGGATACCATAAAAAGTGCAGAAAAAACACAATGTGCAATGAGACCACTGTATAAAACATGATTGCATAAAAAGTGATTTGGCCTATTTTAACCTTTAATAATTGAAAATAACCAATCTTCCCCTTAAAATTAAACTATAAAGTATGACATTTTAAAATTATTTTTATTCTACCACTATCTAAAAAATCCTGAAAAAAGAATTTATACCTGGGTAATAGTATATAAGTATGTGTTTGTATATATATTTAATTATACCCATTTATCAATATATACACATACACACACAGACACATTTCTTTGTAAGTCATTTTAGCCTATTAGATATGTCTAAAGTGTAGAAACGACATTAATCCAGATCAACAAGTAAACATCAAATCCCATACCTTTTTCCTGTATTTTCCTTGAATCCTTTAACCACTTAAACATTTTCTCTAAAACATCTCTGTCAAAGGACCCACCAGTGCATTATTTTCTACTATTAAGTACCAAAAAAAGATACATCTCAGCATAACTCTTTTTAATAACGTGCTCTTTAGAATAATATATAGCCTTTCCAATATTGAAAAGTGTATGCTGTCCTGACAGTCAAAAACAGGCTTTCCACTGCACTGATTCTCAGTCTTTGGCACAATAAACAGAGATTGAGTGATTGATATAAGAATCAAGGTCTGAAAAATTAGACAGTCAAATGTTTTCCAATGTGGATATGTTTCCTTTTCATAAGTACATTTTCTCTTAAGTTTGGCAGAAATGGAATACAGCAAAAGCCTTGTCTAGATTCTTTGTAGATGAACATTCTATAATTAAAATTAAACTTTTTAGGGTATCAAATGGTGGGAATTTTATATTTATCTTTAGAGGAAACACACTTCTTAATTTACTGCTACTCTGGTAACATCTGTCTTCCTAGGGGCACAACTTCTGTATCCATAGAAATGTACCTGGCTTGGTCAAAAATAATTCATTTTAACATGAAATGCTCTATATCACTAGGAATATTATGCTCCTCAAGAGTGTAGCAGAACTGTCTTTTCCAGAAATAAACTGGGAATTCATTATAGGTCCTCAATTTCTTTTGTTTCAAACAGTGAATGAAATGAATGTTGAAATGCATAACCTATCTAAGGGCAATAAATAGCAAACATTTAAAATATATATGTATATATTTATATATATATATTCATTTAAAGAAGTGAAGTGTCTTGTAAGTTAGTTTGTTTTTTTGCAAATCAAATCATAACATTCCCTAATCCACCATAGCAGCAAGGAAGCAGAAGCCTTAGTTCTACATATTCCTTAACTGTACCTGCTTTATGATTTTGAAGGAAAATATTTTGGTACAAGTTACCAACCAATTAAATTAGCTTTTGCTTTTTCAGTCAACTTTCGGACTCGTCCTCTACTAGAAGTTCCGAAAGTCAAAGAGGTGTCTTCGAACAACAGCTGCCTTTGTTCCTCTTCAGAATCCTCCTCATTATAGAAAGCTGTCCTTCGACCTTGGTTTCTAGTTCTCATGTGGGGCTCAGAGCCTTTAAGTTCCTCAAACTCTTCTTCCTCATCCATAGGATCATCTGTCTTTCTTCGGTTACTTCTCCTTAGCATTTTAACACTTGTAGGAACTATGAGATCTGAATCTAGTTTTTGTGTCTTCATCTTCCTTTTTGGTTTTCTGCCTCCACGACTTTTCTTCTGTAACAAATCCTCCTTTACAGTATTAGTTTCAGAAAGAAAACTGCATGTTGAAGAAGGAACTACTTCATCTCTGATTGAATGCACATTATTTTGCTCTGAATTTTCTGGCTTTGCATACTGTAGCTTTTTGGGCTTTCTACCCCTTTTCTTGTGTGTAACTTCACCACTGTTGGTAGTAACTTCTACCTTAGGCTTCCTTCCAGGTCCTCTCTTCACAAGTTTGGATGGCTGCCCTCCATGGCCATTTACTTGAATGCTTCCTGGTATGAGAGCATTGTTCTTACAATCTGCTAAAAATAGGAACAAGAGCACACTTAATATATGGAATTGCTTTTTTTATTTGACCCTCAAACTAGTCATTAAGGACGTTGCTATACTTATGTAACAACATAATTCTAATTTTTGTTTTTACTAAAATGAGAAGAACCACCACCAAAGGCTGAGAGTTTAATGATCTTATTTTCTACCTGAAACTCACAGAGGAGGAAAGATCCTCAATGAAATCATTAATGACCTCACATGAGGGAAAGGGAACTCAGAACAAATAAATAACCTGTTAATACTATAAATTATGATCGAGCTGGGGATCAGTCAAGACTTCTTATTCCACTATTACCTTTACTACATGCTCTAATATAAAAGCATTGTTTCCATTACACAAAATGACCCTGTATACTTGTATGGAGCTTAGCAACCACAAAGAACTTTAATTGTTTACCTCATTAAAAAGTCTCCTGTACTCCTACCTTTAAGCAGCTCAATTATGGAAAATGAACTTGGTATAAAATCCATGACATTTTAACTTGGAAATGTGAATACATAAGCATATCATCCCCTTCTACTTACCTCTAATCACTTTTTCCTCCTAGGGATGGAATAAAAAGGGACTATCAAGACTGGAATGATTCTCACTCTTATTTGATCCCTTTTTGGATGTGATCATCATACCCTTTTCTAGTATCACAGAAGAGTTTACAGTCTAAATATTTCCTTATGTCCCTCAGAAGTAAAAGGGACCTCCTCTCGTAGTAATCCTACCACACAAGAAGTTTCAGAGTACATCTACTGGAATAATTTACATCAATTATTCTCCAGAAAAATTACCATGCCTTTGATATTCTTCATCTGTCCTAACTATAAGAGTAGAAATAAGTTACTCTTGGTCATGAACTATGTTCTCAGAATTGTTTAAAAAGGATGAAATAAACAACAGCAGTTTTCTTCACAGGCTCTTTGAAATAAGTCCTATATCCTTATGTAATTGAATGGCAAACAACTGACTTATTATGATAAGCAGTACTAACTCCATGTTATCAATCAAATCTATTATGTATGCCACCATTATAACTGTAACAAATTCCATGATAAAGGTTATTTTGCTTTGTAAAAAAAATACCAGAAAATTAGTCCAGAGATCAAATTCTAAATCTACAGGACCTAGAGATCATGATGAACTGCCCTTCTGTGTAAAAAAAAAAAAAAAAAAATGCTATTACCCCATCAGATGAAGGAAAAAGGTGATAAACATGTATTACCATTAACTTTTTCCTTCAAAGTTCTGAGATTTTTTTGTTTGGTTGTGATGGGTGATCTGCAATGCAATATTCTAGAAGAAATCCATAAAGAGATGAAAACTGCTTTTAAAGAGAATCTTCTTCATAATGTTCATAATGGAATTTTTTTGGTCATAGGTTTGAATTATACTTCGTAAGTATCACAGAAAAAAAATTAAGAGAGCATTGTTCTTACAATCTGCTCTGACCTCACAAGAGGTCAGAGCCAAAGGTAGAAGGAAAAGGCAAAACCCTCATTTCCTGACCCCCAGAGTACAAATAATTTTCTTTAGTGGTTTTCTGGCATAATGAAGGAAAGGGGAACAGGGAGAAATGTGTGTGTGTGTGTGTGTGTGTGTGTGAATAAAGTAATTAAGTATTTTTTCTAACACACAATTACACTTAACCTAAGGAGTCTATACATCTTGTTTTACATTAAGACTACTGACAAGGAATCCATGAACTTCTTGAAATGGTCCAAATTTTGTGTGAATACACCTATACGCATTTCCTGGAGGAAAGAACTACAGGTTTCAGCAACATTACAAAGCAATACATAAACTAAAAAGGTTAAGAACTAATGCAGCTCTCTTTATGTGGATCTGTGTTCAGTAAGGTAGTTACTAACCATGTGGCTACTAAGCACTTGAAACACAGCCATGCAATTGAGGAACTGGATTTTTAATTAAATTTAAATGTGAATACTGAAGCATTGTACATTTTGAAATACTGATTTCATGTTGAAATATTTTGGATATAATGGAGTAAATAAATTATTAAAAGTGGTAATTTCACCTGTTATTATTGCATGTAGTAGCTACTAGAAAACTTAAACCATGTATATGTCATGGTTTATATTATATTTCCACTGGACAGCACTGCCTCTTGATTCTAATAGTTAATTCAGGTGTCAATATTTATGTAGTAAGTCATTATTAATGACTTACTAGCTTATTGTATTGCTGTACTGTACTGGTAACTTGTATATTTGTGATACACAAAACTTATAGATCAAATTGGTTATTGGATCTCCCTATCATAATGCTAGAACCAATTCACTATATACATTTGATTTTTGTAGGGTTCAAAGTGACAGAAGCAAGGCCAATATACTATATAAAACTTTTAATTCAGTTCAGAAAGGAAGCAAATATAAAAATATAAAACACTCATATATACAAAGTCATTTGCTTCTTTATTCAGTACATGTGTTGCCCAAGTGAGCACATTTGCTTCTTTATTCAAACACTTATTGTCCATTATATACTAAGTATAGATGATTAGAAAAAGTAATTAAACAGGAGTTCAGATTCTACTGGATACAGACACATGTAAAGAATACTCTACCACAAAAAGCAATGAACAGGGTGTTCTGGGAACATAAAAGATGAAGTGCTTGATTCGGTCTAAAGAACCCAAGAAGCAGCTTCCTACAGTAGATGCTATTTCAAAGTGAGACTTGAAAGGTTCATGAAACCATTAAACTGGGAGGAAAAAAAAGACATTCCAAATAAGGAAGAAAAGGGCAATGAAAATTCAGGGTCTTCCAAGTTGTAGGATAGCTGGCACATAAAAAGGAGAAAGTAAAGAAAGCTGGAATGTTAGGCAACAGCCAAGTAATGAAGAGTCTTATGTAATAGGCAAAAACATTAAAACTGATTCCACATATGATTTGAAAGCAGGGAAGGATTTGAAGTGTGTGTGTGGGCATGCACACAACATGTGCTGGAGATAAATGATCAGAAAGATCAATTTTGCACAATGCGGAAGATGGACTGGGTAAGGAAGAGCCAAGAACCAAAACAGTGAGACATGTTAGGAAACTAGGACAACAGTCCAGGTGAGAAATTATGTAGGCCTGAGTTAAGTACACAGAAGTGAGAGGAGGAATGGATTTTAGAGATATTAAGGAAGCAGAAATAACAAGAACTAATGACTATGAAGTAGATCTGGAAGAGAAGTCCTGGTGATTCCCTCATTTTAAGTTTATGCAGGGGGTAGATCCCAACGCCATTCATCAAAAGGAATGTATCGGTAGAAAAATTAAATTTTGAGAGGCTGCTGAGAATGTTCACGAGGAAATTGTTTAAAGCGTACTTCGGAAGTCATGATACAAAATGCTTATTTTTGAGCTGCTTAACTGCCAACAAGCCATAATTCTTTTAACATGTCACAGGATGTATTATATCAGTTACTTTCTCCATTTTTCAAACAAAGTCTTTATAATGAAAATCTGCAGATGCAAGAATCTGGAAGCTTAACTCTAAAGAGTTAAAAGTTGTATGACAGAATAGAGGTTGGGCTGTTGTCTACCCTGATGAGTTACTATTTAGTGAAGGGCAGTGTGCTGAATTTTGTGATGTTAAGAACTTAATTTTTCTAGAAAAGTAAAGACTGCTACACTGGGTTAATTAAATCCAATTTAATTTAAACTTCTTGAATACACTTTTTTTTTTTTTAAGATTTCATTTATTTGAGAGCAAGAGACTGAGAGAGAGAGATCACAAGAAGGGGGGGAGGGGTAGAGGGAGAAGCAGAGAGCCCAATCCGAGCCAGAGCCAAAGGCAAAGACTGAGCCACCCAGGCGCCCCTGAATACACTTTTTAAGGTGTTGTAATAATGAAGTCAGAACTATTTAATTTACACCACTAAAAGCCTCTGATTCTAGAATTTGTTTTTATTTCCATATAGCAAATTTTTCATGGCTTTTAATTTAAAGTTTAAATGACAATACAGTTTGCTTTGGGCACAAAGCTGCAAATCAAGAGATGTCTCACTGAATGTATAAGTACAGAACGTGTGACTTTTAAATGGGCAATCTAATAAAAAGTGGATATAAATGCTACCTCTGACAAAAAGCATTTTTAAGAAATACCTGCTATGTATCTTGGAAGATACAAATAACACCTTACCTTGCTCAATGATAGGTGATGACTTTGTAAGAGTGGATGTTTTTGAGAGGACAGATGATTTCACTTTACGTTTGACTGGCTTTTCCTTTTCCACGTTTTCTTTCGCAGAATTATTCCTAGTGCCATGACTGATACTGGACTGACCAGGGCTTGAAAGAGTATTCAAGGTTTTGGAATGTTTCACAGAATTCTCTAGAACTAAAACACACACAAACACACACACACACACGATTAAAAGCTAAGAGTTATTTAACCTAAAAACAAGCAAGGAGGTTGGGATTACTTCTAACCTGAATTGCTTGAATTAGCCAAAAGGATAAAACCTAGGAGTTGCTTAATGTTTCCTTAGGAAATTTACTTTCAAACAGGAAAAAGGAATACACAGATAAACTCTTAACAGTTCAGACCTTTTTGGCGCTGTCCAGTCACTTCAAGATTATGCCTTGGCAAATTGTTACCAAGTCTGGGTACCAGGATTTAAATTCAGGCAGTCTGAATCAGAGTTGCCATTTGTAAGCATTACTGTACACTGACATTCCTAAACCTCAATTTTTTCTTATTAAAAACAAAAACAAACAATAAAGAGAGCAAAACTAACACTGTCTGCTGGAATTTACTAAAACCCAGTATATCTCATTTGGCAAAATAAAAGCTTAAATTTAAAAATTACATATACTTCAATTTAGAAACTGTAACTGATTCTTACTTGTCTTCCCTGGCATTGCAGATGTATTAGCTTTTGAAATTAAAGTCTTTGCTGCTGAAGAAGTAGATGGTTGCTCAGTGGTAACTGGATCTATAACCACTCGATTGCTTCTGGTTCGAACTACAGAACTGGATTCTGTTTTACCATTTATCTGAGTGGCATTATGCCGTGGTGGTATTGTTCGTGTAGGTGTAGAGAATGGAGAGGTAGAGATATCAGACTTTAGCTGGGGTTTTAATGTCCTTTTTTTCCTTTCAGGGCTGTAAATAAAATAATATCATTAGTCATTCTTATAGCTTTATGTAGATGAATAAAATAGTTTTATACTGTTGGATTCAATATTTGTACTATTATGAAATATGTTAAAATATGAGATTTGTAGTGGATTTCATATGGTTGTGAGCCTTTGAAAGTGAATATTTAGTGAAGGACTGCCATAAATGCTACAGTTATATGACAGAAAGCATGATGCCATCACTATCCTAAAAATGCTGTTTTACTGTATAGATTTAGCAGTTTGAATTTAAGCACTTACACTAGTATAGCTTTAGTTAAAAGATTAAAAATCCTCCACATCTTAGGAACTTGCATGTCAAATATATCATTCTGCAATATAGGGAATAGTAAAGGAAGTATTAAAAAACACCGAGTTCTATCATTTAGATGACAAAGTTATAGATCAGTTGATGCTTTTTAAAATAAATCAAATACCTTGATGCAGCACTACTGGAAACAGAGCTGCTTCTGTTTCTTTTCTTCCTCCTTTTGGTTATTGTATTTCTTTTATGAAAGCGAAGAGCAGATTTATAATCTGATAAAACTGAACTAATATGTTCTTCAAAGAAAGCAGACAGGCGCAAACTCATGCTGTAAATCTGTGATAAGAAAAAAAGTGTTTAAACATTCCTCAAAGGAAAATACCTGTTCAGTAAATATCAACATATAACTTGAGTATTTTTCTAGCAAAAAGTTTTAACAGTTTAAACATTACCTTTTTCCAATCTCTTTGAAGAACTAAAGCACTTTTACAATTAAACTAGTTTTTATATTTACATTAGAAATATTCCAAGTTTTCAGATTCTTTTATTTTTAAGTAATCTCTACACCCAACAAAGAGCTCAAACTTACAACCCCGAGATCAAGAGTTGCATGCTCTACCAACTAAACCAACCAGGCACCCCTCAAGATTTCAGATTCTTAAAGAAAAGCCCTAATATCAATTCAGATGGCTCATGTAGACAAAATTCCTGTGAACTCTATCACAATGAAACTATCCCTAAGGTTCTGAACCTGTTTTCCATTGCTACTTAGGATTAGCATCTATTCTTTTTCATTTCGTTTCCATATATCACCCCTTTGTGATGTCTTGTCTGCCCAAAGAGAGATAAATGATATTTATAACTTTACTCATTTTTATAATTCATTCACAAAAATGCCTTTCCATTAATGCAAAAAACAGTTGGAAAGTTAAGCCCACATAACCCTAATATATACCAGGACAATATGTATGTGATATGTGTTCAAGAAAACCATTCCTAAACATTAGTGACATCACTGTTATTTTATAGAAGGAAAGAAATAGAAAGATGTGAATTCTTTTTTCCACTAGGATACCATTAAGAACATAACAGAAAGTCAGTTTTGCTCTAAATTTTAATTAAAGCAACATTTACTTAACCTACTTTTCTACTGATTTCATTTGATTTAAACATAAATAAAAACAATTTAATTATATACCCTTGATCTTTTGCTTGGTGTATAGGCTTTTGAATTGCTAAAAATAAGTCTGACATCTTTACATAATTCCATTGGTGACTCATAATTCCCAGCCTCTAAAGTTTCTCTAACAGTAGCAAAATCCATTGGAGTGTCAATGATGTCTCTGTAGTCCTAAGAGAAGAAAAAAAGGTGGTATTATTAACATCACTACCACAAAGTATTACTACTCAGCACAGGGATTTCACATACAATTTCTGTGATGAGTACAAGTCCTAGAACTTTTAATAATCCCTTACTTTCCTCATCAAGGCTCCTTTAATAATTTTTTTTTCATGCCCTCTCCCTATTTTATCATTAATGGTGCTATTTTCTTACATTATATATTTGTCTATCTGGCATCCATTCATCATAGGGGTAATTACATTAATTATATTTTCTAATTTTCTGCATTCCTGATGCTCTCATATTTTGGGTTCTTTACAGACCTGAGGAGAGACTGACCCACCCAGGGCCAACCAATTCTTACTTCTTACAGATAGCAAAAAGCCGCACTGAGAATACATCTTTCATATGTAAACCAACCATCTCCTTATCTAATTCCAACACACCAAGCCAGTATTTCCTCTGCCTTAAATTGTCCCAAGGCCAGGTACCAGACTACTAGAGACCACCCCTATGCCCCCAAAGCCCACTGGAATTATTCAAACTAGCCAGTCCTGAAGTGTTTACCCTGCTCTGTCTTGCCTTTCTCATTGAAACCCCAATAAAGGCTCTGGCTTAAGCATTCAATGACAACATCTTTGGGACTTGTCAGCACAATAAATTTCCTTTTAAGCCCCATACTCATTTCCTCCTGTGGCAGTGTTGACTGTACCATGTAATACCATATATAACATGTACATTCTTAGAACAAATGGGTATTGCATTTTGTCAAATGCATTAATTGATATGATCATGTAATTTCTCTTAATATGGTAAGTTACACTGACAGATTTTTGAATACTGAATGAGCCTTACATCCATGGATAAAAACCCCGTTGGTCATGGTATAAAATCATTTTTATATATTGTTGGATTCTATTTGCTGATATTTTATTAAGAATATTTGCATTTTCTTCTTTTGTACTTTTTTGGCCCAGTTTTAATATCAGGATAATACTGGTTTCACAGAATGAATGGAAAAGTAGTCTCTTCTCTATCTTGTGGAAGAGACTATGTAGAATTTGTGTTAATTCTTTAAACATTTGGTAGAATTAACCAGTGAAGACATCTGGACTTAAGAGATTTCTTTTTTGAAAGCTTTTAATTACAAATTAAATTTCCTTACTGGTTATAAGGCTATTCAAATGATCTATCTCACACTGGGTGAGTTGTGGTAGTTTGTACTTTGAGAACTGGTCCATTTCATCTAAGACGTCAAATCTGTATGTATAGAGTTGCCTACAGTATTCCTTTATTATCCTTTTGATATCTACAGGGTCTGTAATGATCCTCTATTGCATTCCTGATATTAGCAATTTGTGTCTTTTTTCTTTTTAGCTTTGTAAATCTTAATAGAGTTTTATCACTTTCATAGATCTTTTCCAAGAACCAGCTTTTGGTTTTATGGATTTTCTCTATTATTTTTGTTTTCAGTTTCATTTATTTCTGTTTTTTATATTTCCTTTCTTCTGCTCACTATAAGTTAATTTTATTATTTTTCTAGTTTTTTTTTTTTTTTAAAGATTTTAGTTACTTATTTGACAGAGAGATAGCAAGAGCAGGAGCACAAGCAGGGGGAGTGGGAGAGGGAGAAGCAGACTTCCTGCTGAGCAGGGAGCCCGATATGGGGCTCAATCCCAGGACCCTGGGGTCATGACCTAAGCCAAAGGCAGATGCTTAATGACTGAGCCACCCAGGTGCCCCTATTTTTCTAGGTTCTTGAGGAGAGAGCATGGGTTACTGATTTGAGACTTTCTCTCTTCTGATGTACCATACAGTGCTATAAATTTCCCTGCATTGTTTTAGCCTCATCCTACAAATTTTGAAATGTTGTATTTTTATTAGTTCAATGTGTTTTATTTCCCGTAAGACTTCTTTGATATCAAAGATTATTCAGAAGCATATTTATTTAGTTATCAATCAAGTGATTAGAGATTTTCCTGTTACTTTTATTTCTGGTTTGATTCCATTGTGGCTGGAAAACACACTGTATGGTTTCAATTACATTTGTCATTTTATTGTTTTCTGTCTGTTCTGCTTTTTTATTTTTTTCCCCAATCTTCCTGTGGGTTACTTGAACAGATTCCATTTGATTCATTCATTGTGTTTATGACTGTAACTAACTCTGCTATAATTTTTTAAGTGGTTGCTCAGGTGTTTATAATATATACAAAATTATCAAAATAAACTGGTGTCACAAAAAATGAAATTCAAAATGGATTAAACACCTAAATGTGAGACCTGAAATCGTTAAAAATCCTAGAAAAGAACATAGGCCTGTAATCTCTGCTATCAGCCATAACAACATTTTTCTAGATATGTCTTCTGAGGTAAGGGAAACAAAAGCAAAAATAAACTATTGGGACTACATCAAAATAAAAAGCTTCTGCACAGCGAAGGAAACAATCAACAAAACTAAAGGCAACCCATGGAATGGGAGAAGGTATTTGCAAATGACATCCAATAAAGGGTTAGTATCCAAAATATTTTATAAAGAACTTGTAAAACTCAACATCCTCAAAGCAAATAATCTGATTAAAAATGGGAAGAAGACATGAGCAGACATTTCTCTTTAAAGACAGAGATGGCCAACAGATACATGAAAAGATGTTCATCATCACTTACCATCAGGGAAATGCAAATCAAAACATTATAATGAGGTATCACCTCACACCTGTCAGAATGGCAACGACGCAAGAAACAATAGGCGTTGGGGAAGATGAGGAGAAAAAGGGACACCATGCATTGTTGGTGGGAATGCAAACTGGTGCAGCCACAGTAGAAAACAGTATGGAGGTTCCTCAAAAAGTTAAAAATAGAACTACCCTATGATCCAACAATCACACTACTGGGTATTTACCCAAAGAATACAAGAACACTAATTCAAAAGGATACATGTACCCGTATGTTTATAGCAGCATTATTGATGAATGGAAAAAGAGAATGTGGTATATACATATATACATACATACATACACAATGGACTATTACTCATCCAAAAAATTGAAATCTTGCCATCTGCAATGACATGAATGAGTTAGAGAGTATAATGTTAAGCAAAATAAATCAGAGAAGGACAAATACTACAGATTTCACTCGTGTAGAATTTCAGAAACAAAACAAACAAGCAATGGGAAAAAAATAAGAAAAAGAGAGGTTAGCCTGGTGATGGGTATTAAAGAGGGCATGTACTGAAAGGAGCACTGGATGTTATACGCAAACAATGAATCATGGAACACTACATCAAAAACTAATGATGTAATGTATGGTGATTAATATAACAATAAAATAAAAAAATAAACATTAAAAAAAAAAGACAAAGTAAGAAAGAGACTTTTAATTATAGAGAACTAATGGTTACCAGAAGGGATTAAGGAGTGCACTTGTCATGATGAGCACAGGGTGATGGATGAAGTGTTGAATCACTACAATGCACACCTGAAACTAATACCACACTGTATGTTAACTGGAGTAAAAATAAAAAAAAAGATAGTGAAATAGAAAATAACATATCCAAAGAGAAAAATTGTGATTTCAGATTTTCCTGTGTAATGAAATCATATAAATGGCCTTAAAAAAAATATGTATCTGAAACGCTCTTTTTTTTTTTTTTAAGATTTTATTTGTCAGAGAGAGAGCACAAGCAGGGGGAGCAGCAGGCAGAGGGAGAAGCAGGCTCCCCGCTGAGCAAGGAGCCTGATGCGGGACTCAATCCCAGGACCCTGGGATCATGACCTGAGCCAAAGGTAGACACTTAACCGACTGAGCCGCCCAGGTGTCCCCGAAACCTTGACTCTTAAGATAGCTGTGTATGTGTGGGGGTGAGGAGGTAAGTTAAAGGAGTTATAAAATTGCTTTATGCAATGGTAACATTGTCTGAACAGTGTCCAACCTCTCTACCCTCTTAAGGGTAACTAACCACTTTGACAGAAACTATAATTACTTGGATATTGAATATTGTAACATATTGTCTTTACAAACTTTGCAGATTTTAGGGATATGTTAAATATATTTATGTAAAAGACTTCATTTTTCTTCGTTTATATCTTGGGTTTCCATTACTCAGTACAGTTTATGGTAACCACTCAATACACCTCTGCTGAATAAATGAATGGGATAGATTATTTAGCATGCTAATATGCATAAAAATTTAATTTTTAAAATCTTGCTTTGTAAGTATTTTATTAAATTCAATATAAAAGCTGAAGTATGAAGAATATGACTGCTTTATATATTCTGCTAGAGTTAGGCTGACAGTTAACTTATAGTTAATTCTGAAATATAAAAAGTGATAAATCCAATTTTCTCTTCTCGGTGACAGTAATAAAAAACAGTAAATAGTCCTAAGTCTTCACACCTCCCTCCATCAAGGAGTATTGTAACAAGTGATCAAATTAGAATTTTTTCTTGTTTCTTCTATTTGCCTGCTAATACTTTTGGCTGGTGGAAGAAGAAGCTCTAAATACTGCTCTCATTATTTTGAATACTTAAGAGAGACTACATTCTTATACACTAGTTATTCTCTAAGAATACTGCCATACAGCTCTGGTGCACGAGATACAGAAAATATGGGCTCTTGTTCTCACTTTGTAAACAAATAGCTACGGATCTTGGAGAGCTGCTTAATCTGAGTCTCAGTTCAACATTAGTAAAATGAATCAGCTGTACCAGTATCTAGAGTTGGATATATAAAAAGCAACTCACATATATATTCGCATATATACATATGTATGTATATATATGTATGTATGTATATAGCAGATATTTGTATTCTGGACTTTTTCCTAGAAAGGAAGAGAAAGATATAAGCTTTAATGTTTAGATTCTAGATGCACAAGTATAACTGCGCAGAGTCATGAATACAGGTCTCTCCCATATTTCTGTATGGTTGTTTTAACATTTTCCTTTGTCCTCAGAGTTTTAATTTTTCTCTATTACTCCAGGTAAAGATTTTTTTCATATATATCCTGGTCAGGAGTCATGCTCTGTCAAATGTTTATCCACCCTAGAAAATGTATATAGCCATTAACTCCTCAAATATTGCCCCTCTCTCATTCTGTCTACTCTCTCTCACTGAATTTTTTCATCTACCATATCTCTTAATCTTTCCGAGAGCTTAATTTCAATGATTTTACATTTCATTTTCAGAAATTCCATTTAGTTTAAATTTTTAAAAATACCTGCCTCCCCCCTGCCCCGGTAAGGTCTTTTTTTCCTTATGCTTCTTATCTCTCCATTTATCTCTTAAACCAAAATAACAAATCCAAATTTAATGGGTAGCATTTCATTTTTCTTTCTTGGTGGTACATTAAATAAGTCACTGGTGTTTTAGATTTGATGAGGTACAGTATTTCAGAAATAATCTATCCTATATCAAGTTTTGGGGGAGAGGGTGCTAATATTTCCATTTGTTGTTTGTTGTTGCATATATGATGGATCACTCCCTTATACAGTTTGAGATTTTTTTTTTATTATTATTAATTAATCTGTGGTTAGGGATTGGTTTTTTCTCCCTCTGATGAATTTCCACACACTAGGGTAGGGTAAATATGGGCTCTAAATCCTTGCATAGTGCTAGCTTAGGGAGACTCCTTTCCTGACACCAGAGCACCAGACAGATACTCTTCCTCATGGAGGGAATTATACTATTGTTTTCATTGAGGGTGAAATCTTTCAAGAGTCCTGGTGGGATCTCAGTTCCAATTTCCCTCCTCACCTTGGCTCATACGGCTTTCTCTCTACATAGTGCTATCCTTGTGCCTCTAGAGAATCTAAACATTAAAGCTTTTATCTAGCTCTTCTTTTCTGTGGAAAAGTCTAGGAACACAAACATCTGCAAGCACTGGATAAACTATAACGTTTTCTAATATACATAGTTGGGTTCACAAGAAACAAAGGGAAATCCACAGGTTCCAAAAACAAAGAGAATTGAAAACCAGAGTACTATAGCATTAGCTCAGTTCTTCTACGAGTTTTTTGGAGCATAGGGTTCAAATTAGCCCAGTTTATCACATTGCTGGAATTAAAAACTTATCTTTTACATTCAAGATTCCACATTTCTTGATTTTTAAATGACAAAAAGGGCATTTTATGATATATATCTACTGATGAAATTTCTCTATTTTCATCATTGCAAGTAAGAGGATACCACATCTGGGTCATGATCTCTTACAAAATATTTCATTTTTATTTTCATTTGAAACCACGAATATTATCTAAACTGTACAACCTTTAGTAACTGACTAAAGGAGTAAAAAAAATCACTTTAAGCTATATTTGGATTGCTAAGACTGCATGCAAAAATACTCGAATCAGATTCACTCAATCTTCCTACCACGGATTCCATAAATATAATAATGCTACCTTGCATTTGTATATACTGCTATAGTTTAAAAACTATTTTAATGTATTCTCATTCCATCCATAACCCTGTAGGGAGGTTAGGTAGGTATTATTATTCTTGTTTCCTAAACAACTGCCATAATAAATTCTTAAGAGTTTGTGTAGGAAATTATAAAAAAAAATTTAGATGAGAAAACTAAATGACCTGCTCAAAGTAGTACAACTGGTAAGACGGAGAACTGGAATCATAACCCTATTCTTTGTGTAGTCTTAATCTGGGGTTCCTTCTGTTTTAAATGCCACACTACTCAACTTAGATGCTCCATATAACCAAATAGATGACAAGACGTATTTAATAATGAAGAAATGATAATCATAAGAAATAACAACTTAAATGGCTAATTGTCATGTGTGAGATATCTAGCAAACTGACAGGTAAAGAAAATATTTCCAAAAATACTTACTGGATATTCAAGGAGATCTACTGGCTGGCGGAAAGGCTCAGAATCTTCACATTGAAATATGAGATTTAACAATTCTTGACATTGTTTCTTCCACGCTTGAATATCATAAGATTGAGCTCTGTTACGTAATCTTCTTCTAGGTTGATGGTCCTAAAATGAAAAATTTCAAATATATTAATAAAATAACATTTATACAGTAAAATTTGTATTTTTAATGTAGTCTGATATAATTAGGTCATATACAGTAATTTAAATAATAGAAAATATTCAGCTAGTTCTGAAAACCATGCATTTTGTGATGGAAACTGATTTGGAAGTAATACTTAATCTGTCTTTAAAAATACTAAGAGTTAAAAAAATGCTTTTAATAAATTTTAATTCATATAAAATACTTCTGCTAAAACAAAAAGTATCTTACCTTTCTTTTTCGGGTAGAAGTTCCTGGCACATCAGCATCTTTCTCTTCTTCCTTTGAAGTAAGAATTTATCAGATTCGTTAAACATTCTAGATTATACTCCTTAGAGTTTATAGAGTCTATCACAGCTGTTTATATGCCAATTATTACCTTTACACTTTCGAAAACCCATAATATATATGCTGGAACACTTTACTGATTCATTAGAAAGTCCCCCCACAACGTTTTTAAAAACTGTAACAAGAAAATTCTGGACCACTTTTTTGAAACTATAGCATTAGCCAAAAATAATTTTCCTAATAGCATTTATCTGAAAACTACTATGTGTTAATTTCTTTTTACATATAGAAAAAGACCAACATAGTCTGAATGATGAAATATGAAATATGAAATACCTCAGAGTCAGACAAAACTTTCTTCTTCATTGAATTGTACAGTGGAATTAAGTTGTAACAAGTCTGATCCCTAAACAACAAGGCAATGTTAGTATACAAGATTAGAGTCATGAGATTTTTTTCCCCCCTTAAATCTGTTACCAAAACAAGATTTTAAGATAAAGCTTGAAGCTGAAGGCTTTCTTCATTGGTTGACTCCAAAACTCTATGCCCACCCACCTGCCCCTGCCCCTCCACCCTATGTGGAGCTTCCAATCTGGTCTATTTCATTACATGAAACCCAATTCTCACCTCCTAGTCTTTGTTCAGATCACTGTTGTTTGGGGGACACCTTCTTCCATTCCTCAGTACACAAGGGAAAGCTATTATATGTCCTGTCTTCTAATTCCTTCTTTTCATTCTTAAATGTTTAGTCATTCCCTAGAATTTTGTCCTTTAGTCATCTTCCCTTGTCACTACAGTTTTTGTCCTGATAATCATATATATCTGCAGTATATCTGTGTAAATGAATTCCAAATTCCTATGATTTGGTCAGACTCTTCTCCTGAGATTCCATCATCTAAAATTTCACATGTCTAAACCTTATTTTCACTTCCCTCTCCTATTTTCAACAGCATTACTATTCTCACAGTAATGCATGGGTTTTCACTATTCCTTCCCTTGCCTCCTTATTAACCCAATCACTGGCCAAGTTCTGTGATTCTACCTTCAAAATCTCTTGGCTTCTGCCTTTCTCATTTCTATAAACTAAACCCTCATCACCTCTTAGTTGGTTAGATATAACAATCAATCTGCTATTTATGTTTTTTGTCTCTTCTCTATCAGTTAAGATTGGAAATGCATTCAAGGCCCTCCATGATCTGGCTCAAACTCGTGCTTATAGCATTGTATCCCTATTACTTCTGCTCATGTACTCTCTACTTCATCTGATTTAAATTGCTTAATTCCCTTAATAACCTTTTACTTTCCTACCTCATGCCACTCCTTATCCTTAGAATGGCTTTCCTTCCATCTAACTTCTCCTAAATCTATCAATATCTACCTTGTCCATAACATCCTAACACACTTCTCCCTGTACCTAAAACTCCACTGTCACAAACTTTCAAACAGACTCTTGTTAGTTTTTCCTTATATTATAGTTACTTAAAAAATTTATCTATGAAATTGTACTAAGAGGGTAAATATACATTTCTATCTCAAATATCTCTCACATCACCTGATTATATACCTTATTGCTTGAAATTTGGCAAAATAACTCAGTCAAAAAATAGAATAATCAAAATTTCAAGCTATACCTAACATGTGAAAATTACTGTCAGCTAAAAATGTACAAACATTTGTTATGTATACCTCTAAGAAATGCCAGGGATTTTTAGATATATATAATATAAATGCTTTAAATATTAATCTATTCTAACAAGGTATTTCAAAATAACATTTGAAAGAAATACATTTTTATAGACTATTCCAAATACAAAAATAATTGTTTCACCTAAATTATTTCACTGAAATGTGAATTTATATATCATGCAATTCTATTAATTCCTGTCTCTTTGGAAAAAGAAACATACATATATATATAATACAAAATTATACACTAAACTTTGTAATAAAAATATTATAAGCCATTATAATTAAGTTATATAAACAATCTTCCAAGGATAACTAATTCTTAATTACCAATTTTATGGGGGGGGTTGGAGTGCAAGTATAATAAAAATAGCCCCCAAACCATCTGGAAGGCAGGTTTTTTTAGAGAATAAAGTAGAGCGTAGAATATAACATTTACTGTACTAATTTTCTTTGGTGTTTTCTTATATTGAAATCACCTATATTCCTCAGCCAAAAAACCCCTAACACCACAAAAACGGGCCCTATGATTATTCTACGTAATGAGAATGAAGCTGGAGATGTTTTTTAAAGAGCCTCAATAATCCCTGCATGTGAAAATGAAAGCTGACAACAGCTGAGTATTTAAATTATAAAATACATTCTTTCTTTACTGAAAAAAATTATCTAATATAAATCACCTTAATATGAACTCAAGAGTAGTATTTTATACAAAACAGGAATCATTCCTCTGGTTTCAGTTTAGAAGGCTCAATTCATTCTATGGCTATATAAAATTCTTAAGGTAAAAAATAAAAGTGTTGCTCCCTTAAATAGCTATAGTTACCATTTTTGGTATGAGATCAATGAATGAGGAAGTAAACCTGACTTTTAAGAAGAATCTTGAAATTAAATTTAGTTTCTGGTTGGACTACTTAAATACTTTTTTACAAACTTGTCAAGGGCAATATAATGTTAAGATGAGAAATTCTTAGATGGAAGACACTCATTTACTGTGAAAATTAAACATGTAAACCTCTAGAACTGTTTCCTTAACTGTTAATTACAGATAGCGATATCTCCTAACTGTAATTATTATTTGGCTTAGAAGAACTACTTTAGGTAAAACATTACATGTTCTATACATGCTTACCCTCATTATTATTGTCCAACAGTTGGATTTAGAGAAGGATCTATTTTTTAAATGTTAATTGTGGAACACAACTGTAACACAACTTTTTATGTTTATACAGAGATTATATGCTTTCTATTTTGAATGGAACTAGTTTACAGCACAGCATGTGACACATATAAAAATAACTGCATTTTACATTTTTACACTTTACATCTTAAAATACTGACAAGTGTGGAAAAACAACTCACTTTATAAAATGTAGAAGAAGATCAGTCACAAACTTAGCAGATTTCACAATAGGGCTTCCAGGCTCATTAAATGTCCGTGTATTATGCTCTATGTATCGAACTTCCCACATTAGGGAAGAAACTCGCCTTAAACAAACAAAACACAAAAGTCTTAACCTCATTATATTTAAAAATATTTGTGCACAATTTAAAACCATGGCGTTCTAACTTCTCAATTACAGTCTTATCCAATTACAAAACTCACAACTTTAAAATATAAGAAAATACATAATCTCATTTGTGTTAGGGTAAATAAGAGCAACATTGTGTATTTGCAAAGAAAATGTCATACCAGATTAGACACTAGATTATTAATAGTGCCTTCTTTTCTTTCTGAAAGTAAAGAAAAATCCAAAGGCAACTTCTAGAATATTATCTAATATGTGGTCCAGTCCTATTTAAAATAACAAGGAAGAAAATACTCAGAAAGTATTACTGATATTGATGTGTGAACAGAAATACAATTATATGTGGGGTGCCTGGGTGGCTCAGTCCTTAAGTGTCTGCTCGGGTCATAATCAATCCCAGGGTCCTGGGATCGAGCCCTGCATCAGGCTCCCTGCTCAGCGGGAAGCCTGCTTCTCCCTCTCCCACTCCCCCTGCTTGTGTTCCCTCTCTCGCTGTGTCTCTCTCTGTCAAATAAATAAATAAAATCTTAAAAAAAAAAAAGAAATATAATTATATGTGATTTAAAAAATATATACAATTATGGATACAGAAGCATACACACAAGGTTCATTTATTCTAATAACAGAATCACAGGCATCTTCAGGGTACTCTATAGAACTATAAAATAAGGTTTTAGAGTTAATGCCAAGCAGGGCAAAATGGTTAGTAATAGTTTAACAAGAGACAGAACCAGAAGTATCAGAGAAGAAAACCATAAACTGCAAGAAATCTGAAGCCAATGAGTAAAGGAGAAACAAAGAAGGTTGAAACACTGAAAAAGCAAATGAAGGCATAATTTTATTAAGTAAGAACAAAAACTGGGTCTATATTATCAGGTTCTAAAATAGGCAGTTTCTAATTTATGTAAGGATTGTGTTCTCAGATATTCTTATACTGGCTACTAGGCTAAGCTAATGTCAAAAAAGCCTGTTTAAGTTGTAATGTACCCTGAAATATAACACACCTTAGCAGTTACCATGTTGAGCAGTATTTCTATGAGAAAGTATATTTACAACAATAGTGGGAGATGTCAGAAGCTTATCTTTGTAGCTGTAGTCCAACAATTACTGTACAATAACAACTCCATCTCCCCATAATTCTCCCCTATCCTGTTCCACCTCTGAAGCACTAAGTCCAATTTCTAAGGCTTAGCAATTTAGGGGTCTAGGGAAAAGGAAGGATGTAGCTAAAAACTTCTTCTCCATTTTCTCTTAAACTTCTAACATCAGGTGTTGAAAAAGATTTAAAGAAGTGTACTATGAAGGTTAAGATGGCTGGGAGGCACATATCATAGTGATTTCCTCCTCATCTCTATGCTTTTTTTTTTTTTTTAAAGATTTTATTTGAGAGAGAGAGAATGAGAGAGAGAGAGTGCACGAGAGGGAAGAGGGTCAGAGGGAGAAGCAGACTCCCCGCTGAGTGGGGAGCCCGATGTGGGACTCGATCCCAGGACTCCAGGATCATGACCTGAGCTGAAGGCAGTCGCCCAACCAACTGAGCCACCCAGGCGCCCATCTCTATGCTTTTGACAAATATCAATAAAGGAACAGCAGAAACACCTAACCAAGATCAGAAAAATCTTTAGAACCTGAAATTTAACATCTTAGTTTTCTTTATTCCAGTGGTTCTCAATGATTCTGGGTGGGTGGTTCTACCTCATATTTGGCAATGTTTAAAGACATTTTTCCTTTTTACAACTAAGGACTGCTATTGGCACCTCAAGGGTAGAGGCAAGGATAGCCCCTCACAATGAAGAATTTTCCTGCCCCAAATATCAGTAATGCTTTTGTTGAGTGACCCTGCTTTACTAAGTTAAGGAACAATAAATGGTGTTTTCAGTGCCAGGCGCATAAAGTACCAAATTAGATTTATAATTTAAGTAAAAAAACCAAAACACCAGAGGCACATTTTATATTAAAAAATACAAAATATGAATAAAAGTTTCCCTAAGTTAAAATGAATGATATAATGTAAATAACAGGCCATAAGAAGAAATTTTTTAATTCAATTATTTTAATTAAAATGTTGTGGGTGCCTGGCTGCCTCAGTTGGTTAAGCATCTGGCTCTAGATTTGGGATTACATCATGATCTCAGGGTTGTGAGACAGAGCCCCAAGATTCTCTCTCTCCCCCTCTCCCCCACCCCCCACCACTCTCGCTCTCTAATAAACAAACAAAATGCTGTCAGTCTTCTAAGCAAAAGTCATGAAAACTGGAAGTATGATTTCATTATGTGAAAGCTATAGACTTAAATTTTTTCTGTAAATACATTCCAGGCAGTAAAACTACAATGCCTATCCTATCCAAGATTAGAACTCAATGTTTACTGAAATTAACTAGATGCAAACTAATTGAAATTAGCTCTTTTTTAACTCTATTTCAAGCTAACCTTAAACTATGAAAAACATCCTGAATTCCCAATTTCAAGTATATATAAGCTAAATATAAGCAAAATAAAAAAAAATACGCAACTTTTTAAAATATTGTTCTATGAAAAAAATCCATGAAAAAATATTTCAATGTGATGTCTAGGAGAAAACGAGATACTCTGGCTCGCTTTATAAACTACAGTATGAAGACAGTGAGCACCAACTCGTATTAGCAACTAGAAAAAACTGCATCAAGGAATCATGTTCCAAATCTATAGACCAGCAGCATCAGCAACCCAGGGAACTTGTTAGAAATGCAGAATCCTCAGGTCCTACTAAAATTACTGAACCAGAGACTGCATTAAAAAAAAAAAAATCCCCAGGTGATTTGTATGCACAGTAAAGTTTGAGAAACACTCAAGGATCATTTAGTTTTCTTTTGGTAGTGGCTACAGCAAATGGGTTCTAACCTGTAAAACCTGTTTTCCAGTCTTTGTTTAATTGTACTTAAATCCGTTGGATATGCCACTACAGTGCAATACATGGGATAGGCTTGTAGATCCACAGGGGCCACAAATGCTGAAGCAATATCTAGAATAAAAAAATAAGTTTATATGTTTATTTTTTATTGTTTAAAATACTTCACAGACAATTCTGCTTGAATTAAGACAAATTCTGATCCACATAACCATTAGACTGCCATTGTCTTTTCATAGTAAATACATACAGTTTAGCTAGCCCAATATAGTCTCACTGCTTATTATGTATACATTTACACTGCAAAATTCTAGGGATATTTGTTATTCAGATCCCTTAGAAGACAAGAAATGACAGACAATATATAAATCTGACCTATTAAGTACACATACATTTCTATACTTAAAACCTGGCCATTCCTGAATCTGTAGGTTTTTGACAGTCATTCTTTCAGTAACACATTCCACTGTAATAACACATTCCATTCAAATGTAACCTGACTTTCTCAAAACTTATCACCTTATGTTAACCACTTAATTCTGTGAAATATCATGCAAGCACTCAGAGGAAGAAACAGATCCAGAAGTCTTTGAATCAATGTCAATGACCAAATGGCACACAGTCAACTGGTAAAAATCTAAAACCTGACAAAGATTACTATTTTTTTTACTCATTCACATACAGTATACAACTTCCTATGCTAAAATACTACTAAAATTGTTTAAGATATCTGTGATACTCTTTAAATAAAGTGTTGCCGTATTAAAAAAAGGCTTCAGATGAAAATATATCCAAAATATGTCTCCAGTGTCACCTCTAACTTTCCTCTTTTAAGCTTTATTCCTTACTGACAGGGGGGTTGCTACAAACCACCACACTAGTTTACAGTTGTTTTGGAAGCCCAGAATTCAGATAATCAAGTTTTGTGGTCATTGTGTTTTTGTTTTTTTAATGAGACAAAGCAGTTCACTATTCTCTTCCTTCCCCTTTACAAGTATTCCCTTGTGTATATATTCATATAGTTAAGGGGAGAACTGGTACAGCTATCCACATAATTATAATTCATCTTTCCACCCTCCTCTCCTCTCCCAATTCACATCATGTCAGCTTACCTATGTTAAAAGATTTCAAATTGGGTTCTGGAGGACCCAGATTTTTCACAGGTACCCACCCATGGCATTTCTGTGGGCCCTCACTCTAAAATTCAGCTAGAGCAACTCCATTTTTAACTGTTCTAGATACCCAAGTCCTATGTAAGGCCTCATTTTAAAAAAAAGAAAGAAATCCACTTAAAAGATGTTTGAAAACCATTGACATGATATTGTGAAAAAATATTTTTATTGAGTAACATTTTTCCTTTCCTTTGCTTTCTGCCAGTTTTTTCTATATTCCTGTGTTACTATTATTATTTACCCAGTGTCATCAACTGGTTTATTCCTGCAACAATTCTTTCACATTCTTCATCCCTGGGATTGGAACCCCATTCTCCATCAAGAGGTTTATAGATCAATGATCTGCATTCAACGTCAGTTAAAGGAACACTAGTACCTAGTTCTTCAGGAAATACAGCTGAAATACAGAGAAAGAAAAGCAGATTTAGTGAAAATATGTGATTTTTGCTAATATTTAGGTTATGTTTAGAAAGTAGAGTTGACATCAAAAAAACTAAAGTATAATTCTGTAAAGATTTGATAAGTATATTCTGTACTTTCATTAAAGAAATGTATGTTTCAAGGATCAGTAAAATGTGTTTTTTAAAACATTAATTTTATAAATAATTCTCTAGATGAGCATATAATTACTTCTCCAAAATTGTATCTGACAACTTGCTCAACTATCAGTTTCAGGTAAAGGACAAAGTATTTCTATAAATTATGCTTAATCTGCAAGTTTTCTGAATCATTTCATGATATAATCTCCATATTTATTTTAATACACAAGGTGAAACTGAACTAAAGTGGTGTTTTCCATAAATACTCCAAAGTCTTAACTTTTTTTAACGTACAACAGAGAATTATGAATAGTAAGAGATGATTCATAGGTTTATTGCTTTTAAATTATGAAGGTATGCTTTCTGCATATATTAGGAGGTGATGGTGACATAAAACCTACAAATATGCCAAGTAACATTTCTTTTGAACTAGATTTCATCAGAGAAACATTGGGGAAATATGCTACTATTTGTATACAAAATTCTTCCTCCTCACAACGTAATTCAACTCCAGGGATGCACATGTATATGTATCCAGACAGAACAAAAACAACAAAAATCACCCCTCTTCACAAACGGATATATTTAGGTAGGAAACAAATAGTATATTAATGCCATTAATTCATTTCAAGAAATACCCTAAGCAATACAACACTGACTAGGTTCATTTCTCTCACATATAGTAGAGTCCAATGTGACTACAACCTCAAACTTACAAAAAGGAGAGAAACAAAATAAAAAGCCATGTAACACCATTCCAAGTTGTTCAAGATATTTTATAGTTTCGGAACACCAGAGTGGCTCAGTCGGTTAAGCATCTGCCTTCAGCTCGGGTCACAATCCCAGAATCCTGGGATCGAGTCAAGCATCAGGCTCTGCTTCTCCCTCTGCCGCCACTACCTGTTCGTGCGCTCTCTCTTTCTGACAAATAAATAAATCTTAATTAAAAAAAAGACATTTTATTTTATAGTTTCAAACAGCTCTAATTTAGCAGTGAGGTGAAAAATATGTTATCGGTATTAAATTTTCAAAGTGATAATTTCTAGCAAGAACTAGTCTTAGATAATATTAGCATGTCCTTTTTCTCATTTCTAAGGTTTACCTGATTGGATTTAACTTTTCCAAGTTACCTTTTCTCTGATTTTTTAGTATATGTGCTGCCGAAGTGAGCACTTTTCTTTGACTTTTTAGAATACAGTACTAGTGAGCAACTCCATTATAAACGATTATTTCTATTATGTCACAAGATCTTTTTCCTTTTTGTTTTTTAAATCTTTATTCTTACCTGATGGGAAAAGTGATATATTATAGAAAAAAAAATACAGAATAATGTAAAAGATAAATTGTAGAAGTCCTTATATTCCCATCCTTTATAGATAATCATTATTAATATTCTGGAATATATATCCTTTTAAGTCCTTTTATGCATATGCAATTGTGTGGGCTGTATTTTTTAAAAAATAGAAACAAAAATGGGCACTACAGTCTGTAGGCTTCAGACTGGCCACACTGGCCTTTTCTCAGTTCCAGGAAGTTGTCTTACTGCCTAAGGCTAACTCCCAAGTCCTAAGGCAGTGTATCAGGCCATAAGCAAGAAGACAGTTATTATTAGCAGTAGTAAACTACCTACTCATGGAGGCCCTTACATGTGTCAGGCTCTACAATAAGCACTTTATGCACACGATGTCATTTAATCCTTCCAGAAGCCCTGTAAGGTATTAGTTTATAGAATTTCAAAGGTTGAAATCCTAAAAAAATCTTAAGTTTTGAGTCTTTTAAGGAACTTGCCAAGATGACATAGAAGATGGCAGTGATAGGGTATGAATCAATGTTGCACTCAAAAGGCTGAACTCTTAATACTATGTTTTATATTTAAGTTCTGCTGAAGTTACAATTACAAAAAAATCTCTGCTCCCAAGTGCTTACCTTCTAGGAATGAACAATTAGCAAAACATTTTCGTATTTTGCTGTTAACTAATTTCAATCTTCCCTTTTAGACTGTAAATTCCAAGTGGGCAAAGATTATGTCTATCTTGTTCACTGCTATGCCTTCCCTACCTCCAATCCAAGGTAAGTAACAGGTGTGCAATAAATAACTGTTGAATGAATATTTTCCATATGATCTTCGTAACAATCCTATGCAGTAGCAAGTCAGCAAATCAGACTCCTTATTTAAGAAATTATATTTGTAACACAAAAAGCCTACCATACACTTACCATTATTAGGAATAAGCTCCATATCCCAGGGACTCATCTTTTCTGTGTCTCCATTGTCCCAGCTTAAAGGAAGGAAAATCCCTATGTTAAAAAATCTAAATATTGTGTTAGAAGTTTCATAGAATCACATTATAAAAATAACTGCTTCAAGTGTTTAAAAGAAGTGTCTTTGTCCCTTTATTAATAGATGGGGAAAACATTAAAAGTAATTCAAGCTGGAGGTGCCTGGTTGGCTCAGCTGGTTAAATGTCCGACTCTTGATTTTGGCTCAGGTCATGATCTCAAGGTTGTGAGACTGAGCCCCACGTCAGGCTCTGCACTGGGCCTGGAGCCTGCTTAAGATTCTCTCTCCCCCTCTCCCTCTGCCCTCCCCCGTCCTCCCCCACCCCCCACCAAAAGTAACTCAAGCTGAACTAAAATACAACAAACACTCCCTTACCAAACATTATAGCACTGAAACAAACTATCAGGATACTCAGGCTGAAGAGGTTCCTGGCTTTCAATTGTTCCAAACCACCAAGCATCATCTATGACTGATCTGAAACGGTCACCTAGACAAGAATAAAAGCCATCTCATTATTCTGAAATGTATTGCTGCTGTTGTTACTTTCTCCCAAAGTATACCCCTTTCCGATAATTAAACCACCTATATAATTTCAGAAAACATACAAAAAGTGACCCACACACTCCAAAATAAGTAAATAAAATTGGCAATATTGAGGAAAAAAGTTATTTAATAAACATACCAGTGTGACTTACCAGTTTCCAGTACCATTTCTTACATTTTATTAAGTTCAGGAGAAATTCACTCTTAGGTTAAGCATTTTTACCAATCTAGAATTTTAAATTCACCATTAGGATTATGCCCAAACTCTTCATTCAAATAAAAGCATGGTTTAGATAATTTATGCCCAACAAGTATTTATAGTCTATATTTAATTTCTTGTTTTCTATAGCCAAGTTCCTCCATCAAGACTCTAGCCTAGAAACAATAAAAAGAAAACATCCAACCTGCCTTCCTTCATGTCAATCACCCTGAAGTTATAACACTCATTTATAAACTCACTTTCTCTTTTCTATAAAAATAAGAGAGTAACAAAAGAAAAACAACTAATCTTTGTAAAATAGCACTCCCTGTGTTCCTTTCCTTACCCGATTGCATTCAGCTACTAACCTGCCACTAAAATTATTTTCCCCAAAGACCCTAATAAACTATCTTCTCAGCTTCCCTCCTTGTCATATGAAAACTGTAAATCACTCTCTTCCTTCTGCCACTCTTTCCTCTTCCTTGGCTTTCACAATATGGAGTGGTTTTTCTCCTGGTAAGCATAGGTTAGGGTCTCAAAGACTTGAGTTCAAATACATTATCTGTGTGATTTTGAACAAATTAATTATTTTAGAACTCATCTAAGTTTCATTTTCAAACCCATAAAAAGTATTTGTTTATATTCTCATTTTTTACCAAAAAGATTTAAAAGTTTATAGAGATATATAGCATAAAATGAATTAAAAACTTAAAAAACAAGATAAAAAAATTTAATGACAAAAAGGGAAGTTGGGAGCCAGGAGGAAGTTAATAGAACACAACTACATTTGTAAAGTTATATTTAACTTTGAATGGGTATGTACTGGGGCCCAAATTTAGACTCAAGCATTCTAACAGCCAATGTTAAGAGGGAAACATGATCTATTACCAGACAGAGTCTCTAATTGCTCTTCAGACGCATATTAGTAGCACTGAACTTAGTGAGAAGCTACCATATAATTAATAAACAGCATTCTTGACACCACCACAACCTTAAACATAAGGATGAGTTTCAAAGAGCTATTTTTTATGATCCTACATACACTAATGACATTATGCTAAAGAGGAAGAACTGGATAATGTATGCGTAACCACAATGAACAATACTATAGAAAGATAACAATGAAATTAAGCAGGGAATAAGTACACCATTCGGAGTAAGCTTTAAACATTTCTAAACATTTTAAATGGCTATCAGTAGGTAGATGTCTATTTCGTCAGAAATAAAAGACCAAGTAGTACTAACTTTAGAAGAAAGTATTAATCTATAAATTTAGGGAGGAAAAAAAAGTTATGATCCAGGTAAGAGAATTCCAATGTACATCTACCATTTCACATATCTCTCTGATATGTCTAATGCTTGCCGTATTTCTTTACTTAGGTTGTTACCAACTCCTTTCTGGAATATTCGTGGATTCTGATTGCTAATAATTGTTCTGCAATATATTGGCAGATGCATGTCTTTAAAAAAATAAAGTTTTTCAGTAACACATGCAAGTAATTTAAAAAACCAAAGTGTACCAAAGGCTTATAATCAAAACCAAGAAAAACATCTTTAACTCTTGTAACTATTTCTTCTGGAATTTAGATTTCTAAATGATGGGTACAGAGCTATTTCTTCACTCATCAATTTTAGACATTAAGTATTGACCTCTCCATATAATTGTATGTAATTATGTGTATTTTATTTAATCTGTATCATTTTTGTAACTATGTAAATACTGTTTGCTATAGAGCCAAATAGTACACATTTCCCTTCTATAATTTTGTGTAACTGTTTCACTTTTTTTGTGATTGGTTTTCTTTGGATTTATTAAGTCTTCCCACATGCTCTAACAGCTTAAACTATAAAACATTCTTCAACATAATTTCCAACAAAGTCAGACACATTAGGTAATTCATCAGTTCCATTTTCTTTCTTTCCTGAAGACTTTGCTCTTGGGGGACAACATCTTTTGAACTGGTCATTTTACAGACTTGCTAGACAGATGCTATCCTGAGACTTCTAGTGACTATTACCGGGAATTCATTTTGGCTCTTTCCTATTCTGGATTTCCTGTCTCCTGGAGGGATTCCATGTCTTTCCCTTCCTTGGTTCATTCCCTTATTTGATAGAACACATCTTTCAAAGCTTCCAGAAAAATGGTGTAATGAAATTTATATGGAATGTAAATTTTTTTTGATAACTTCCATGTCTCTAATTTTGTTAACTTGCATTTCTCTAAATCTTCTTTTTAGAGCACACATTTAAATTTCTAAGTTTACCAAGACCAAACAAGATATATCACCATGCCAATGTCTTCCAATGGCACTGGAGAAGAGATGGACTGGCATATCAACTGATGTGCTTTTTGAAACCAAATATGCCATATATGTACCACAGCCCACTCCAAATTGACAAAGAGTGGCCCTGTTTGAAAATTAAAAAAAAAAAAAAAAATACTCTAATGAATTGCACATCCATGTGAACATAAATTAATGCATCTTAAATGCCTGGAAACTTTTAAAGTTTGAGTACTGATTACAATATTAAGTTTAAAGATTATAACGGATTAAACCAATTAAAGAAAAATGCCAGTTCAGCTTTAGTCCCAGTCCAAATTATTAAAACATTTTGAATTGGAAGAGGTCTTTTGCTTCAAGTGTAAATTGTTTTATTTTTAAATGAAAATTTAATTCAACACATAAAACAGCTAAAGGATTAGCTATAAACAATCTTGTAACAGTTACCAAATCTAAGAGAGGAAATGTTTAGAATTTCAGCATCAATGAGATTAAAAGGACAATTGACCCTTGAACAATACAGGTTTGAACTGTGTAGGTCCACTTACACATGGATTTTTTTTTTTGATACAGTACAATATTATAAATGCATTTTTTCTTCCTTATGATTTCTTAACATTTTCTTTTCTCTAGTTTATTGTAATAATACTTATACAAAACACATGTTAATTGTGTATGTCATCAGTAAGGCTTCTGATCAAGAGCAGGCTATTAGTAGTTAACTCTTTGAGGAATTAAAAGTTATACACAGATTTTCGACTATGCAGGGGGGTCAGCACTCCTAATCCTTGCATTGTTCAAGGGTCAACTGTATTTTAAGTACCTGATACTGTATCTTCTTTGCTATTAACATTCCCACAAATGGCAAGAAGATTTCTCTGATTATCTTTTTTTCTGAATCATTAAAAATAGTAAATCACTTATTAGATTAAAAAAAAAACAAGTCTTCTAAATAAATTACCCACCTATGTTCCACCGCCTATATTTTGCGTCATCAAATTGTTGTCTCAAGACGAGAAAATCTATAACATCAGGCATATCATGGTATCTAATTACAAATAGAAACAAACTGATTAGGTCACATACCTAAAAATATCTAAAAGAGGTTAAAATTTATCTGAATCTTGAAAAACAGTGTACAATACTAAGAAACCACTGCCTCTTTCAATAGTCCTTACTTCATGGTAAATGATCCGCCTGTCAGTTTACCAGTATCAGGATCTAGAAAAGCAAGTTTAAGGCAGCAAAGGGTAGGCAATCCCACTTCATACTTTATGCCAACTATTTTCATCAGTTCTTGTTCCTGAGAAAGAAACAGAAAATAAACTGTCTTCACAAAATAAATCACAAAATAAACTGATAAACATAAAACATTTCTCCATTTCAATCTTGATCTAGGTGGTGATTATTCTGTGCATGCAAAATTTGTTGACCTGTGTACTGAAGACGAATTTGTGCACTTTATAGTTAACAAATTATATCTCAATAAAAACTTTTTAAAAAAGGGAGAAAATTACTGAAATAGAAGTTTTCCAATATAGTTCCAAAGACCTCTACATAATTTTGAACTCTGGCTGATAAATCTAAAAATACTTATTTACAAATATGAAGTTTACCTTAGACATCAGTGTTAATTTTCACTATAATTACACTTCGTACCCAACTTATAAACTACTGGAGTACATAAATTCAATCTTGTGTTTCTTTGAAAATTAAATAACTCTTACTCTCCAGGACTGCTTCAATTAAAAAAACGTATCTTCATGAAACAGTTTCTTACAGTGAAAAGAGTAACATTCAATACAACTTTCTACCTCATCTAAAACTGCATCTTTTAAGTAATAAACACCATACCCGTAGTTCCATTTTATGCCACGGCTGTTTTTTGGGATTGATACTGTAAATCTTATTTTTCCGGGCCATTTCAACATAAGCTTCATGTCCCTGCCGGAAGTAATAAACCTAAAAAGTAAACAAAGTCACAATTTTAAGCCTTGAATGGTCCCTTTAACCCAAGATGTAAGGTATCAGCTAAAACTGCAAAGACAGAATTTAATATCCTTTCAAAAGAAATTCTAATATTTTGATAGTTTTACCTTCTTTGCCTCAAGTTGTCCTAATTGCCACTTAATCATAAAGTGTCCTAAATAATGTTACTTTGGTTATACAGTAAGATGATAAAATGAGCAGTTTTTTTGTTTGTTTCACTGTTTTATTTTTGGATTCAAAATAAGCTGACCTATGCTGTAAAACAAAGTAAGTTGTAACTAGGAGTCATGATCAGTTTATTATTCACGTATTTGGGTAGCAAGTGGTTTGTACATATGCAGTAAACTTTGAAATGAAAAATGTATTTTTATATATATTTTATCTTTATAAAGAGAGCAAAGTATATATTTATGCCTTCATTTTATAAAGTTCAGATTTAAATGACACCCGACTACCATCCTGGTATCTACTGGCACTTGACATAGTAGTCTGATACCAAGTATTCTTCCCACTACAAAAAAAACAGTGGAGCTTGTTAAAAAATATTATTAAAATTTTTTAAAATGCGATTAAGTTCTTAGTAACATTCTGGGATATCCATTATTCTACATACTTTTATTCTATTCATTAATATCACTATTACTCCAGTTTGAAATTTCATACAAAGGAATAATGCTGAATAATGAGAACTTACCTGTTTAAGCACCAACAATTAAAAAGACAACTTAAACATTTTGAAAGAAAATTATTCAATAAGAATTTAGACACTTTCTAGTTATCTTGAAATATATTAAATTTAATCAAGCATCTTCTTGATGCTCAAGGACCTGTTAGGCTCTATCATTGTACTAAATTACGACAATGTAGAAATGTCCTGTGCTCTTCAAGTCTTCTTAAGTAGGGTGCCTAAATAAATTTTTTCTCAGACTGCTCTTTAGAGTTACCCGGGCATTAAAATGTTTTTGTTTCCTTTTTTTTACTATCACTTGCCACTTTCTATTGCTAATCAGTGTGGTTTGCTAAAGAAGCTCATATTGTACTTCCTAATTTATTACTGCCAATACTAGATACCAGATGACTCTGCTTCTCAACACTTACACATAAAATAGAAGACATGAACACTGGACCAGGAAATTTTGATCTAAGATCTTACATTTTCATTTCAAATTCATAAGAACATAGTCCAAAATGATGACCAATCACATTTTCTTAAAAAAATTTTTGATTCTAATAAATTTTTAAAAAGATCTAAATTATAAGCTTTGTATTTAAATGAAAACTTATGAAATAAAATTAAAATTTTATATAAAAGTATTTTATATTTTATATAAAATAAAATGCTGAATTGCATTTTTCCTTTAACATGTATTTAAGCCTTAAGCTAAGAAAAATATACTTTTAGAAAAAGAAAATTGGCAATAGAATCCTCTTATTAAAAAAAATACTAGTTTTTAAAATGCCAATAAAATTTCCATTCTCTTACAATATTTAGTTTTCCTGTTGCAATATTTAAAGTGGCAAGTGGTCTCAAAAAAGATCAGTTTTCCTCCTACTTATACCTTTTCCATACACAGCTACAAACATCTAAAATGAGATATTTTATGCAACTGCTATTTTCTACAGTTTCAAGAGCTATTTTAAAAACCTTAAAGATACTTCTAAGAAACAAAGACTGTTCTTAAAAGTTTAAAAATACCTCATCACCCATCTGTGGCACAAATGGACATCTTCGGGGAATAGTATCTGTAATCCATGTTGAAGGTAACCATTCTTCTAATGTCAAACCATTCTCCGTTAGTTCTCCCACAGCCAATCTCTAAGAGTTTAGAACATTATTAAATAATATTATCACAAAAGCAATCATCTCTCAATATGTCCTTTAAATACTGATAGGGGTGCCTGGGTGGTGGAGTCGGTTAAGCATCTGACTCTTGGTTTTGGCTCAAGACATGATCTCAGGGTCCTGAGATCGAGGCCCATGTCAGGCTTCATGCTCAGTGTGGAGTCTGCTTAAGACCCTCTCTCCCTCTGCCCCTCCCCGCTGTGCTTTCTTGCTCTCTCAAACAAGTAAACCTTTAAAAAAATAACTATAAAGGTAATTAAATAAAAGGGAAAGGAGATCTTTGAACAAAAATATATACTGAGTATCAAAAAACTTATTTTGGGGCACCTGGGTGGCTCAAGTCAGTTAAATGTCTGCCTTCAGCTCAGGTCATGATCTCAGGGTCCTGGGATCGAGCCCTGCATCGGGCTCCCTGCTCAGCGGGGAGTCTGCATCTCCCTTTCCCTCTCTCTCAAACAAATAAATAAATAAAATCTTTAAAAAAACTTATTTTTTATGGCAGCAGTGGCAGTATATTCAATCTCTCCAAATCACTGCATAAAAAAAGAACTAGCTAAACCAAAACCTTACAGACAACATTCAGAACAAGACTAGGTAAACAGATATTCCCATAAACCCCAAAGTATAAGCTCTGTGTAATCTCCCTCTCAAAATCCTATCAGTTTTATCAATATTTGTAACAAACCAAGACATATTCAAGTTTTTTCTTTTTCCTTTTTTTAAATCATAGTCATGGCATGTTAGTAAGAAATAAATAAGATATTTTCATATGGGCTGAGTAGTGGAAAATGCAGAAGGCTAATTGTTTCAGTGGGCTGGGCATTATACTTATACAAAGCCCAGGAATATTTTCTCCCCTTTTTGAAGCAGCCATTTCACACTTGGCTCATTAGTTTCTAGAAAAAATATTTCTATCAGATTTTTTTTTCAAACAAAATGTCATCAAGCCAGGCTCCTTACCCTTTTTTTTTTTTTTAAGTGAGCACTATACCTGATGTGGGGCTTGAACTCATAACCCTGAGATCAAGAGTCACATGCTCTACTGAGCGAGCCAGCCAGGTGCCCCCAGGTCCCTTATTTTAACTTCTGTGGCTAAATATAAAAATAGATCTCTGAGAAGAAGCTTTTTTAACTTTGCCTGCAAGTGGCCATTATTGTCTGGGTATTACCTTAGACTTAGGAAAAATGGACTTTCTAAGAGTCCTTGAAACCTAGTATTATTTGTAAGTAGAGACACTTCATGCAATTGACTAAAAATGTTTTAGTTCAGTGTTTGTACATTAAGACTTCTAAATTTTATTCTCTTGTATTTTTTTAAAAAAGAAGGTAGTTATCATCGTGACTTAACACAAGTTCACTAAAGGAAATAACATCATAATGGGATATCGGAGAACACTACAAAAGGTACTGCTAACAGCTGTTACTCAATATTCATTTTCCTCTTCTTCCTACTAAACGCAACTTGTTTCTCATTCAAACATATCAGGAGCACTCTCTCTTTGAAGAGTAAGGGAGGGATAAAGAAGTTTGACATTTTCTATATGTGAGGTAGGTCCACTGGAGAATTTTAGTCAAAAGAGTGATAGAATCTGACTTGTAAAAGGATCACTCTGGATGCATCAGAGCAGGGATTTGCAAATTATGGCCCATGGTTCAAGTCCCGCTGCTTCTACTTTTATAAATCAAATTTTTTGGAACACAGCCATATCCATTCATTATGTATTGTCTATGGCTGCTCTTAGGCTACAACAGCAGGGTAGTGGGCCCCAGCAAAAGTTTGTTGATCCCTACTTTAGTGAACAGAACCTAGGGTGAAAAGGGGGGAAGCAGGAAGACAGATGGAAGACTACTGCAGTAATACAACCAAGAGCTTATGGTGGCTCACAGGAGTGCGACAGCAGAAGTGGCAAAAAAATACTCAAGTGCTGAATATATTTAGAAGACAGAGCCACAAAAATCCCGATGGACTGGATGCAGAGCATGAGAGAAAAAAATTAATTAAGGATAACACCACAGTTTTGGTGTAAACAACTAAAAGAATTGTCAGTGTAAGAAGAGGAGGGCTGGAGAAGGGCAGAGGGGAAAACTTAGAAAATAAATTTTGTATATATTATTTTGAGAGATTAAGTCAGGGGATATTTGAAAAGTTAATTTGTCCAGTTACTGAGCACCGCTGTTACATGACAGAGTTAGAGCCACAGATTTTCAGTTTCATATATTGAGGTTTTGAGTTAAAGTGTGTTTGAAAAAGGTTTCCTCCGACTTAATAAAAAAAGGTAGGAAAAGTCTGAAAATTGTTAATTCCAGCCCAATATGGGCTGTTAATTGCACCAAATATTTCTTCCTGCAAGGAAATTATCTATTATCAACCGAAATAGCTAATAATTCTTAAATGAAACCAGGTAAGTTAGCTATTAAATAGGAATGATCATATTCATAACTGTAATTATGACTATGGTATGGCACAAACAAGAATCAATATGATGATACATCTTACTCCCCAAGAATTCTTGGGAAACCTAGAATTTTTGGTTTAAGTACAGTTCTATCACACAGTACTTAAAACCACTTAGGATAAAATGCATTGAAGATTCCTCAAAATTTCAGCCTCATAATTTGAATTTTTTTTTAATTTTGGAGATAGAGGTAATTGATTTCTTTCCTTTCTATCCATGGAAATTCTTCTAGGTCCACCTCATATTTTACTTATTCTGGAAGCCTTAACTGAAACTCTAAGATGTCCTTATTTGATTTCTGAATTACCATCTTTAAAATTAATCTGGCAATTAAACATATTAGATAATGTGATACTCTATTTTTATCTTGGGGGATTCAAGCAACTTGTTAGTCACACACTGTTTTGAGAGTAAGCACTATGTCTTACACTTCTTTTTATCCACTGTACTGCTTTATAAACTGTAAGCACTCAATAATAAATTTACTGATCTGGTTTCCAGAGTTCCTAACAGCATAATGGACATATATCAGACAGATCTGAGATAACTTTACTGGATCTCTGGACAATTTTTTATTTTTAAGAGAGAAAGTGGGGGGGGGGAGTGGATCTTAAGCAGGCTCCACGCCCGCCCAGAGCCTGATTCGGGGCTCAATCTCATGACCCTGAGATCATGACCTGAGCTGAAATCAAGAGTTGGATACTTAACCAGACTGAACCACCTACGTGCCCCAGGAGAATTCTATTTTTAAATAAGCATTTTTCTGTTATCTGCCTTATTACTATTTTTTGCTTAATTTGAATACAATTAGTCAGATGGAAAATATCTTCATCTTTTCATACATGCGTTAAATATTAATTACTTAATGATCTCTCTGTTACTTTCCAGCTGTACAACTCTATGCATAAGAAGGGAAATATTGTGTTTATTTGGGACAAGAAGACTAAGGAATGAGAACAATTCTATCTACTGTTAAATCCACTGGTAGACTAATACCAAACCATGTGTACGAAAACCAAATTAAAGGGAATAGTCTGTAATATTCTTACACTTCATGATATTTAAAGTTTGTCCCACATAAATTTAGTGGCACACAGATCCTATTGTAATACTTCAAGCAAAACAGTGAAATTAATAATATGCCAAACAGTAACAGTGGATCCAAATGTGGCACTGTATGAAGAAGCCCCAAGGTGTTAGTTTGTGCACAAGTATCAAATCAAGAGGAACTGTACTCTTGGGACCAAAAAATTATGTTCTCACAGGGACTTAAACACTGTAAACCTCAAAAGTTCATCAAAACTGTCTTGAGATAAGAAAAAAAAAATTAGCCAGATACAGGGCTAAATCATTTTTCTTTAACCATTCTGCGTACCACATAAATAATGGGTTAACCTCCTTTTATCATCACTGACAACACAGGAGAGAAAAATGTGGGCATATGTGTGATATTCTCTTTGGTAAATCTTTCCCAGACAAAAGCAAAAGAGGTAACAAGAATAGTAGGCTGTGGGATCCAAATTAAAGCAATTCCTAATTATAAAGCTGAAACAAATAAGAGCTCAACTGAAGCAGATAAACACTTAAAACAGATGTATTCTTAAATTTTTCAAGGCTCTCTGGAGATAAAGACCTTCTTAGTCTCCCTAGCATTTAATTCTACATTTGACAACTTATATTTAATTCTAAAAATGAAAGAGGTTAAAAAAAAATCTTCCTTCTGTTTATTTAACGAAATATACTTTCCATTTATAGACTTTTAGAGAATAGAAAACATGTCCCTTGTATTTCATTTACTTTAGAGTAAAAGTGAAATAAGTCTTATTTTTTAAAAGAATCCCATTTCCATTAGAGGTGACAAATCTTATTTCCGTAACATTTATTTCTTACATCCTCTGATCTGTCTCAAATTATCCACAGACTAAAGATGAAGTAATCAAACCGATACTACTACTGACCTAAGGACCATCTAATTATGGCTCACATGCTCTGTAAATTAATGAAATCTTGTTAACGGTAGTGTCCTACTTTAGATTCATAATTGTCTAATATCAACTATGACAAGTTCTGCCATTATTCCAGGTGATGTACACTCTATGCTTTCTGATTATTTTCAGCAATAACAATAAGTATGGTTAAAAAGTAAAAGCAATTAAAAGATGAATAAAACTACGTTTTGTAATGTTTTTTATATACACAAATGAATAAATCCCACCAGATTACCAAAAAAAATCTGCTTAAATTATAAGATTAAATGCTCAATATTTAGAATATGATAATTCTGTAAGTAAAATACTTTCACGTGCTAAACACTGAAAACTTGAGTAAATTAAATGTTTTGTTACAGTATATTCTACTACTGTGTACTTCTAAGTTTTTTCAAATACTACTAGTATGCTAGTACACCTCAACAATGTTTATGTTCATCAACAGCACTTTTAAAAGGAGTGCTTTTGTTTTCACAGGAAACTATATTAAAACAAAATCAACCTTTTGTTTTCTTTCTTTGGGCTTCTTTTTCTTTGGTGATATTTGTCCATCTTTTTCTTCATTTACTTTTTTCCTTTCTTTTTTAATCTGTTTTTGCTTCTGTTTTTCAGATTCTTCTTCTTCATCTGAACTGCTTTCTGCTTTCTTGGTTTTATGCTTAGGAATTTTCTTTGGTGGTTGCAGATTAATTCCTGCATCTGCCGTCCAGTCAGAATAGTCACTAGAGTAGTCACTAGAAGGCAAAAAGCGATTTAAAAAATATATATGCCAGATATACTGTTAAGACTTTCTTTTATAAAAATGTAGAGAGATCTCAATAAAGAATACGTACAAAATAAACTAAAAGTATTTCCCTATTTTTCAACTCATCACCTTCTAAACGGTTTCTTAAATTCTGTAGGCTTAACTTACTCAAATATCTCAAAGACGTTTTCTAAGGTAAATAAGTACACAGTTTTAATTGTAACAATGAATTTAAGTGCCTTATTAGATTTTAACAAAAATATTAATTTCTGAGTGCGGCATATGTTCAACATATCGTGGGGCATACAAAAATAAGGAGCAGAGGGTCACTTTCCTCAATTCCAGGAACAGTACAAAGATAGTTTGGAATACTACAAGAGATATCAATACTGAGGAAGAGACATGGAGATTACTTTTTTGAGAGGAGGTGGGAACTCTTGACTAGGGGAACTCCAATGGTAGAGCACTACTGCCTTCATGATAGCTAGATATTAAATGTGGTTGGGGTGGGGACTGTCAGAAGTGTTCTGGCCCAGTAGGAAGACTGCTTGCAAATTTTATTCAGTACCTATATATACGTTAGGTACATCTTATGCTTCAAAGAATGACACAATTCTGAAAAATAAAGGCCTTCGTGTTTTATTTATCACTACCAACCATGTTTGCTTTTCTTTTCAGTTTACCTTCAAAAGACCTAATTTTTACCGAACTGATGTTGTTGCAAAATAATCCAGTTATGTTATCTTCTGTTCTAATTTTAGTACATGAGAATATTACTTGATTTTGTACAATTTTAAAATATAAATATAAATGCTTTAAAGAAATCTAAGTTATACTATGTTAAAATCAATAATTAGTTCTCCTGTATTTAGTGATGTATGACCTTACTCCTCTATAAAGATTAACACTGAAAGGACAGATTTTTCTGGAGTTTTATTCTAGTACCACCACCTCTTACCCCTGTCCTGAATGTCCTTAGTAGGTGTCTACAAATATCTCCCCAAGAATAATCATCACAGGTAACAATCAAATAATTAACGTGCTTTCCAGTATGATTTCATGACTTCATGTTAACTTGCAAAGGATTTTAAAGAATTTAAAAAATATTTTTAGACATTACACTGGATGCATGGGAATGTATCCACGGAGCAAACATCTATCCAAGAATAAGCTGTCCTCAACTTATGAGCATTTATTTATACTAACTCCAGCCATGGTCACGATAAATGGCACCTGCTAAATACTCACAGCTGCTACTCTCTGGAGTACTCAGGACTTACAGAAAATCTTCTGATTCTAGCATAGATCTAACTTCAAACTGAAGAACCCATCTTCTTTAAAATTGCCCCTCATCTGCTGAAACCACTAATGCTCTTTCCTATAAGAACCTCTGTGTTGTCTCATGGTTTGAGATACTCTACTTCCATTACTGAGACAAAAGAAAGTGAGTTTTTCTTTCACTGCCCTGTTTCAAATATAAAAAAACTACCAAACACAACTATGGGTATGTGCGTATCATTGCTGGGAGTCACTATTGTGGGAATAAGAAAGCCCTTGATTCTTACAGTGATATAAGGAATTATAACCTCCACCTCTTGGTTTCTTTGGCAATTTTAAGAGCTACTGCTGATGGGGAGTAAGTGTAAGCTAAATATAATCACCATTCCAAAAGGCTTGGGAATGCTACCAAGGTCAGCAAAGATCACCAACCTTGTAACAATGTGGATCACTAGTATATATACAGGAGATAAAGGAATCCTCACTTCCATGGTCAAATGGGGTAAGAATAACAGGAAGAGGAAAGCTTATTCTCACTGCTGGAAGAAATAATTTATCATTCAACAAATTTCACTATCTCATTACTTTCATAATTTAATGCTTATGTATTTCTCAAAACCGGTAATGAATTTGTGGTTCAGTACTACAGATAATAGTATTCAGGACAATAAAATATCAACTAAGAAGGCTAAAAGCATCATTTTATAGATCTAGTTTCAATAACCAACATTTTTTTCTTACCAGATAAAACTTGTCAGAAAATGTCCCTAAAATTTGGACAACTACAAAAAGATCTCTGAAGAAGAACCAACTTTAAACCCAAAGAGATTCTGAAATGTGTTGCTGAAAAGAAGAATTTTCAGCTTTCTAAAGATTTCATATTACATGTGGAGAAACAAATTCATTGAATTACCTAGAACTGCCATCACTGTGCCATGCTCGCTCTTCCTCTTCAGATGTCCCACCACTGACAGCAACAACTTCACCTTCCTAAGAAATATTTCACACATATTTTATTGTTTAATTTTACAAAATAACATTCTAGGATTATTAGAAAATAGCAGTGATATCTAATAGTACCAATCACATTAGGGTATTTACAACAACTAAAACCCGATTTTAACTATTTGTAAAACATAGATCTTATATTTAATACAAAATTATTAAATGCATCCAAATCATTAAATGTATCCAATGAAAAATGTATCCAATGAAATAATTCCTATTAACATTGGATACAGAGCAATCTCTCAGATGATTAACATATTGAGAAGCTTCAATTAGAAGTTTACATTTTACTTACTGTCATCATTATTATTAAAAATAGCTTTATTACACATAAAAAAAAGAGTATTCCAACTTTGGTATTACTTTAAACAAGTGGTAGAGGATTAAAAACTACCCAAAGACTGTTTCTCTTTAGTAAATACTCTCTGCTCAACATAGGATAGTCCAGTGATGCCATTTTCTTTATAAAAATTGTATTGGGCGCCTGGGTGGCTTAGTTGTTAAGCGTCTGCCTTCGGCTCAGGTCATGATCCCAGGGGTCCTGGGATCGAGCGCCACATCAGGCTCCCTGCTCAGCCAGGAGCCTGCTTCTCCCTCTCCCACTCCCTCTGCTTGTGTTCCCTCTCTAGCTGGCTCTCTGTCAAAAAAATAAAATCTTTAAAAAAAAAATCTGTTTTTCGGCGTCACAATACCTTATTCAATTTCTCCCTTGCTCAAATAAAATTCTACACTCCAATAAAAATAACATCAAATTAATTAAGCTTTTACTATATTACAAAAGCTATTCTAAGCATTGTATACATCATCCCATTTGATCTAGACAAAACACTACTGGGATAGGGAGCAGTTATTTAAACAAAAGAATTAAAGCTTAAAAAGGTTAAGAAATTTACCCTGTACAACACAATTAATGAGCAACTAAGCTACTCCAAAGTTTAGACTACTCTCCACAAGAATGGTTCAGTGTTATTACTTGCTGGGCACATTCAAAGAATTTTTCAAAATGATAATAGGATGTATTCCTTTATTAATTAAATAAAATAGCATATCTTGGGAGAAAAGTTTTCTCTTTCTGATGTTTTAATATTGAAGAATGTGTATTACACAGCTATTCCACAAAGTTTTGAAAACTAAGCAAATACAAAAAGATCAAAATCCAACAGTAAATTTTAGTTAGAAAATTTAATCTCTGCTCAATATAACTAAAAAAAAGAATGTAAACAAATGATCTGATTATTCCCATCCTTACTATACATATTACTTCTTTAAATGGAGAGAAAAGAAATGTACTTCTGTATTCTTAGTACAAAATTAAAAGGTACTATACCAAAGAGTACAATCTATTTGAATAAAAAAAATAGGATTCTTTCCATTAATTAATATAATGTGCTCAAGATGATATTCTGTTCTCAATGTACTCCTCTAGAAATTGCTCTAAAAGGATGTTAAAATATAAGCAAATTAGTTTTGAAGACAAGTAAGGATTTAGTTAACCTTTTATGTAACAAATGTACCTGGAAATACATAAGATTCTAATAAACTGAATCTTATTTAAAGTTATAAGAACATATTATTAAAAGAATACTAAATCTTTCAAAAAGAAAGAAACATTTTATAGAGGCAAATAACTAGCTCACATATATTTTATGTTTTATGCATATATCTAAACTGTCATGTATCAGATTTATGTTATTAGTATATTTGGTCCTTTTTACCAGATTGGACATACCATTTTGACCTGGCCATCCTAGGACCTAAAGCCAATGGAGAACAACTATTCAGTTGCAGTTAGCGTACTCTAAGTTTGAGTTTTATTGCCATGTCTACAGAAAATACACTCAGAGAATTGCCATATATGTCTAACATTGTTCATAAATGTGTAATAGTCAATAAGATCATAGTCTTTGACCTAACTGGGAGAGAGGGTGATCAGGAAGGGAAGGGAGATGCTGTTAAGTATTTTTTAAGTTTAAGCTGTGATTGCAAATTGATTTCCCTTGTTGAAAGAATATGTAATTTTAGGGACAATGATATTTATGGAAATAATTACATATAAGGAAAATTTAAAATAAATTGAGAAGTTATAAACTGGTACAGAGATCAAACACTAACTGAAATTATCAAATGTCTATTAATTAGTTATTATAGAGACTAGAGCTTCATGGTACTATTTTATTTTTTTAAAATTTTATTTATTTATTTGACAGAGAGAGACACAGCAAGAGAGGGAACACAAGCAGGGGGAGAGGGAGAAGCAGGCTTCCCGTGGAGCAGGGAGCCCAATGCGGGGCTCGATCCAGGACCCTGGGATCATGACCCGAGGTGAAGGCAGCTGCTTAACGACTGAGCCCCCCAGGGACCCCTTCATGGTACTATTTTAAAAGCTTGGCTTTAGAGTAACAGGACCCTGTGTTTAATTGCTGCACTACCATTTAATAGTTAGGTACATAGGTAATCTAAACATCTTTGAACCTCAAATTCCTCACACATAAAATTGGAATAATTAATTCATATGCATTTGTTTTGTGAATTTGACATAATGAATATGTGTGCCATGCCTGGAACATACAAAACAGGTCTTCAGTAAATGGAAGCTATCACTATATTTTAAGACCTAGAAATACCATCTTTGAGTTTCATCTATAAATACGTCAATGAATACAAAGAACAATAGTCATACTTAAAAAAAGTTAAACTGGAAACAAATTTATAAATGTGCTGAGATCTTACATCTGAAGAACTAGTGCCATTTTCTATCTCTTCTGAAGGTCTAGGAGTCTCCTCCAAAGCAGATCTTGTACGGTAATTGTGTTGATTTGCCTGCTGCCGTTTGGATTCTCCAAGATCCAGGAAATGCTCATGAGCATGATTCTGAAAAAGTAAATTAAGTTTATTTAAAGTAGCATTAAAGAGCATGCTTTTACTTTAGAAGTTGTATATTTTTTAATTATAAAAAATCCACTCATATTTAAGATAATCATATAAGTGGACTATGGTACCAATTCAAATATTTTAACATTACATTAAATCACAGGTTTGTGTATGTTGAAATTCACTTGCTGGCTTAATAAACTATAAAAAAAATTTTTTTTTCTGATTAAGTGATACAGACTAAGGGATTCATAACAACAGACTAACAAATTCTCCTATACACACACTAAACCTATAGAACAGATATAAGAGAGGACCAAGAGCTGTGAGGCATATGTAATAGGGAGAGGCAAAACGGAAACCAAAATGGTGGTCACAAAATTACCCTGCCACTATGAGGCTAGGACACCAGTTGGCTGGCTATCTTTCTTCTGCTACAGAATGAATATAGCAAATGAGAACACAACTAACAATCACCAAAAAAACTGATAAAGTCCAACGTGGTGACAGAGATGAACAAACTCAACAAACACAAGAATTCACACCTGAAAAAGAAACTTGTGTCTATATATAAAGATTACTTTCAAAAAAAGACATCAGATTTATATATACAATATATCATAAATATACATCATACAATAAGAAAATCTTTAAAATGACAGAAAATACCTTTGGATCTATAACTATATCTTTTTTTTTTTCCCTTCTCATTAAAGTTTGTTTTAATGGGTCTCAAAATTCTCTGACAGATTTCTGGTCAAGTTGTTTCCGTTACAAAGTACTGATTGATTGATTTCCTTATTTATTATTTTAAGGATTTATTTATGTATTTTAGAGGGAGAGCACCAGCGGGAGAGGGAGAGAGGATCTCAAGCAGATTGCGCTGAGCGCAGAGCCCAACCTGGGGCTCAATTTCATCACCCTGAGATCATGACCTGAGGCAAAAGTAAGAGTCAGACGCCTAACCAACTGAGTGACCCAGGCGCCCCCAGAAAGTACTGATTTAAAAACTAATTACCTTAAAATTGCTGCACACTCGCACAAACCAAATGATCCATGAAAGGTTCTTTTCTTCAAGGTTTTATGATGCATCATTATTACTAAACAGTTTCTTAATATTAAACTTAATGGTGAATTGAGACAAATAGTTCTGAGATCACTCTTCTACCACTGATTAAGACAAGGTGGCAGGTATTATGGAAAATATTTATTTAGCTTTCCGGGCAGACTTGGTGACCTTGCCAGCTCCAGCAGCCTTCTTGTCCACTGCTTTGTTTACACCCATAGTAACTGTCTGCCTTATGTCACAAAGAGCCAAATGACCCCGAGGAGGATAGTCAGTGAAGCTCTCAACATACATGGGCCTGCCAGGAACTATATCAACTATGGCAGCATCAACAGATTTCAAGAATTCAGGGTCGTCTTTCACCTTCCTCCCAGAACAGCAATTAATCTTCTCCTTTGGCTCAGCAAACTTGCAAGCAATGGGAAACTGTGTACAATCCAGCACAGGTGTATAGCCAGCGCTGACTTGGCTTGGATGACTCAGGATAATAACCTGAGCTGCGAAGCCAGCTGCTTCCATTGGTGGGTTATTTTTGCTGTCAGCAGCTGTACTGCCATGGCAAGCATCTTTTATAAACATGTTCTTGATATGAAAGCACATTAGCCCCAGGAAGAGCTTCACGGTACAGACTTTACTACAATTGTAATGGTGACTGGAGCAAAGGTGACCACTATCACAGGTTTGAGAATACCTGTCTCCACTTGGCCCACAGGGACAGCACCAATACCACCCAATTTTGTGGATATGATATAGGAGCAGGCACAAGCGTCTGTCAGTCGGATGAGTTGGTGGCAGGATGTCCAGAACAAGAAGCATGGTTCCATTGGCACTGTCATCTTTACAGGTAGACTTTCCACTCCTTGGACCAATGCACATTAGCACTTGCTTCTAGCATGTACCATTCCAACCAGAAATAGGCACAAATGTTACTGTATGGAGATTATAGCCAATTTTCTTAAAATAGGTGCTGATTCCATAAAGATTTCTTCATCTCTCTCCTTCTGGCTGTGGGGTGCTCAACGGAATTCGTTATGTTAACAGCAAATAAGAAGTGTAACATTAGTCAAGTTCATGTTCATTTGCAGGTGATTTTTTCTCTCCAGAAACTTTTAGCATGTTGTGTTGTTTTCAAATCTCATTATAATGTGCTTAGTTGAAGTTTTAAATTTTTAAATTCTGTATTATTTTTCCCTTGAGACATGATGTCTTTTCTTATTTATCCTCTTTGGCACACCAGCCAGAGGTTGATTTTAGGAAAATTCTGGTTCATTATTTTTTCAACCCTTTCCTTCCTCTGTATTTTCTCTTCTTCAAAGACTCATTAAGTACTGCTTATACTACTACTTCTAATCTTGTGTGCTCTCTCTACATATATCCACATACATATTACATAAATACATATGTTTGCTTTTTATACTTCCTTATTCTTTCCTTCCTTTCATCCCTTGTTGGTACATTCTGGGAGAGTTCTTCAACTTGACTTCCCAGCTTACTAACTCATCTTTCAGTGTCTTACATTCTCTTCTAGTTCTCTATTTCAATAATGATGTGTTTTATCCCAATATATCTAATAGGATCCTCTACAGAACTGCTTTTCCTTACATTTCCAATATCCCCTCCTAGCTCTAAGAATATGCTATTTCAAGTACCTGTACCGTGTATCCCGCTAGTTTCCCTGTGTAAGTCATGTAAATCCATCTACAGTGTGGTTTTGTTCCTCCCATCATGGTTTGGCTTCACAAGTGCATTGGGGTGCTGATACTGCACTAAGAAGGAGAGAGATAAGAGCAAAACTCTAAGTCTTGCTTTGTATTCCTAAAAGATTCTGGATGTGCACTTCAAGACCTATATAATACTGCATCTGAATTCAACCATTCCCTGGTTCCTCCATCCACCTCCACTCTCTGCTTCCTTCTGTGGTTGTAGAACCAGTCTTATCACTAGAACCCTGCCCTCATTTCAGCCCTACTCTTGTCTAAACAGCTGCTAGTGATAGCTAAGTAAGAAAAAAGACATTTTCACATACAAGGATAGAAGATTTACTCCATCTGGATTTTCTCTAAAAGGATTACTGAAGGACTTTCTAATTTTGTAGAAATTTTGGGAAATCGTAAAGGTATAAAAAGGAAATACTGTTCAACTATAATAAATTTTGAGTAATATGTGAAGAATGTAATGTACACCTGCTTCTTTAACATATTTACCTACAATTCAAATGCATTAATTAAAAATTGCTATTTGTTCCATTTTGTAAAGCTTTCTCCTCAATTTCATATTTCTTGAGGATAAATTCCGTGTCAAAGAACATTAATGTTTTTAATGCTTTCATAAATAATACAGTGGAAAGGAAAGCTGGCTTTCAACCAATATTTGTTCTCTTTTTGCACGTACATAAAAATTTTCTTTGTCAGAATTTCATAGGACTAAAATTCTGGCCAATGGGATATTTGGTATAATGTTGCAGAGCAACTTAAAAGAAAGTTCCTCAATAGAGCATATGTGCCCTCTGCACATTTTTGACTTGGTCCTCCATCCTTCAACCTTGAATGAGAAAGCTGGTATCTTGAGGCAGGAATTCAAATTCACACCCGAGAGAATGGGAAAAATGAGTTCTCAACATCATCATACTGGGTCTGGACCAAGTAACTGAGGCTTTTACATCAGAGATAAATATTATATCCATTTATTTAAGCCACTGTAATTTTGGGACCAAACCTGCTGCTAAAGATTACATTATAACTGTTTCCTAAACAGTTTTTATATTAATTTATACTTCCCACATGCACAGCATCTTTTATTATTAGAAGAAAAAACACTACAGCTCTGGGATGAAAGATGGCCATCTCATAATTTGTACACCCATAGGTTTGTTTTCAAACCTTTATTTTCATAAAATTTGAAAAACAAAAAGTGAGTTCATAAACATTACTGTTCTACTTGTTTTTTCCACTTAAAAATATATCATGAACATTTCTCTAAGGCAATGAAGTTCTAACTCATTTCATTAAAAAGCTGCACAAACAGACATTTTTCCAAAGAAGACATCCAAATGGCCAACAGACACATGAAAAAGTGCTCAACATCACTCGGCATCAGGGAAATCCAAATCAAAACCTCAATGAGATACCACCTCACACCAGTCAGAATGGCTAAAATTAACAAGTCAGGGAATGAAAGATGTTGGCAAGGATGCAGAGAAAGGAGAACCCTCTTACACTGTTGGTGGGAATGCAAGCTGGTGCAGCCACTCTGGAAAACAGTATGGAGGTTCCTCAAAAAGTTGAAAACAGAGCTACCATATGATCCAGCAATTGCATTACTCGGTATTTACCCCAAAGATACAAATGTAGGGATCCAAAGGGGTACTCATCCCAATGTTTATAGCAGCAATGTCCACAATAACCAAACTATGGAAAGAGCCAAGATGTCCATTGACAGATGAATGGATAAAGAAGATTGGTATATATACAATGGAATATTATGCAGCCATCAAAAGGAATGAGATCTTGCCATTTGCAATGACGTGGATGGAACTGGATGGCATTATGCTGAGCGAAATAAATCAATCAGAGAAAGACATGTATCATATGATCTCACTGATAGGAGGAATTCCTAATCTCAGGAAACAAACTGAGGGTTGCTGGAGTGGTGGGGGGTGGGAGGGATGGGGTGGCTGGGTGATAGACATTGGGGAGGGTATGTACTATGGTAAGCGCTGTGAATTGTTTAAGACTGTTGAATCACAGACCCGTACCTCTGAAACAAATAATACATTATATGTTAAAAAAAAAAAAGATAGCAGAAAGGGAAAAATGAAGGGGGGGAAATCAGAGGGGGAGATGAACCATGAGAGACTGTGGACTCTGAGAAACAAACTGAGGGTTCTAGAGGGGAGGCGGGTGGGGGAATGGGTTAGCCTGGTTATGGGTATTAAAGAAGGCACGTACTGCATGGAGCACTGGGTGTTATATGCAAACAATGAATCATGAAACACTACATCAAAAACTAATGATGTAACGTATGGTGATTAACGTAACATAAAAAAAAAAAAACCTGCATAATATTCCTTGGGTAAATAGATACCATGACAGCCTACCTCTTTTCCACCAATGGACACTAAAGTCATTCTAGTTGTTGCTACCAGAGAAACTATAAATATCCGACTGTACAGACACACATATATGTACATACATTATCAGTACTTTTCTATAAAAAAAAACTTTGAAGAAAAGTACAATTGGATTAAAAGCGTATCTTTTGATTTTAATAGATATTACCATATTCTATCCAAAAAGTGGTAGCAAAACAAACTCTCACCATCACTATATGAGTTTATATCGCCGTATCCTTGGATTATGAGCAAAAGAAAAAACCCAACCAACCAACCAGCAACAACAAAAAACCGCCCAGAAAACGAAAGATTACCTCAGATTATACTAATGGGAACCTTTGTGGGGTCCTACCAATCCCAGGGTATGATACCCTTAATAAAGGAAAATATAAAATAGCAAAGGACTACTTGAGTCCTTTAAAAAGAAGAGTCACAAAATAAAAAAGAGTTCTAGAAAAGGACACTAATATACAGGTTTAAGGAACTCAAACAGAAAGAGAAAGGAGAACAAAGCAAGGTCAAGAGACCAGTTATTCTTTGTTTGGCTAGGTGCTTAGATGGTGACTTGTAAATGAAAAGACGCTCCATAGTTTACCTCAATTCTGAAGCTTTCAAACTAAGGTGGTTTGAGAAAGAAAAAGAATGGAAGAATGGATAATTGTGATTCCTTGATACTCAAGGAGATAAATACACATCTTTCCCATATTAGGGCATAAACCAACTAAAATCCATTGGATCCCAAAGTTTCTCCAGAGTGGAATGACAGAGAAACCAACAAGGCAAACTAATAGGAACTTACTTCTTTTAATGGGGAAAATAAGAACTATTATTTATAGTAGCATAGCTGTCTTACCTATAGTAACAGGTGTAAAATAGAAAAAAAGAAAAAATAGGACAAAAAAACACAAAACCAAAAAACTGTTTTAGAGTGTGCCACCAATGGCAGAGCTAAAAAAATAAAAAATCTTGCTTAGGCTTATGATATAATTTATTAAATTTAATGGGCATGTTAACAATTGGCATTTGGGGAAAAGGTATACTAGAAGGCAGTAAAATAAAAAAATTAAAGTGGTAACAGATAACCTAAAGAGATAATCAAGAATTAACTATATCAACTTTATTAATTATTCTTTTTACAATCTTAACATTTTTCATTACAAGAGCCTTAAAGTAGTCACTATACTTATGAAGCACAGTATTAAACATAAAAGTAATTACTATTTACCTTTGCAACAGAGGGTATTTTATTTTCTTTTGGAACAGTAAGGTGTTTTCTTTTCTCTTCTGATCTATAAGTTTTTATTTCTTCCTCTCCCTTTGCAGTTCTCCATTCTTCCTGCCTACTGAAAGAGAATTAAAAGCCATTCATGTTAATCTAAACTTTTTACAACTGATTTCACTCTGAAAGGCATGTTCAGTGTCAGAGAGGGAATGCTACTCCTGCTGTTTTCTTTTCAGATGGAGGCATGTGATAAAGATTCCCGAGTTTAAGTGCATAGATTGTTAACTCTGGACATTTGGCATTAAATGACTGGAATACTGGATAGACAGACTATTTGAATTTGATACTACTGCTTCTGTTTATGGTCTCTGGCAAATCAAGTATTCAGTACTGGGAACATGGTTCTTCCTAAGGCAATGCTCTAAGGGTTAGAAATTGATTTATTTTTTTAAAATTATGTCAGTGTAGGGCTGTGATAATCTCTTATGCGATATGGATAGCTAGAATCTTAAAAAAAAGAGGCACAAGAGAACCTTGAGGTTGAATTAATATAACTCCTAAAGCCCCGAAAGAACTATATTCTCTCCAGTGAAAAGCAGGTCTGGCTTCAGTTACTGAAAAAACTTCAACTCATTGCAGGCATCGAGCTGAAAGTGAGCAACAGAAAAAGTTGAGGAACATTAATTGTGAACTTTAATTTCATGGAATCTGAACTTACAAGGGCAAAAGAATTTTAGTTTTTACTTTAATTCATTACAACTTTAAAGTTTTTGACCTGCAGGGTTATTTAATCTTTGAACTTTAATTTTTCCCTGGAGATTTCAGTTGGAAGGGAGTTAATACTCAAACTTGAAAGAATACTACAATGTTGATATTTTATTACTAGAGTATATTGTCATTTCACTTAATTGCAGAATCTCTAACACAGCTGGTAATAATTCTCAATAGAATATAAAATGAGTAAGTTTAAATCTTGCGAAAAGAATGGCCTTGATTTAATTTTTTGTTTCACCATAGTTTTTTTATTCTTTAATTAAACTTTTATAACTGTAGATTCACATATAGTTTTAAGAAATAATACAGAAATCTCTTGTCTCCTTTACCACGTTTCCCCTAATAGTAGCATCTTGCAAAACTATAGTACAATATCACAACCTTGATGTTGACACTGATACAATGCACCAGTACTATTCAGAACCCAGTTTTACTTCTACTCATGTGTGTATGTGTATTTAGTTCTATTCAAGTTTATCAATGTGCTGGTTTGTGTATCCATTACCCCAGATAAGATACAGAATATTTCTATCACCACAAAGATCTCTTATGGTGTACTTTTCATAATCATACCCATACCTTTCTCTCTTCCCCTTCAACCCTTCCTCTCCACAAGGTCTGGCAATCACTAATCTGTTCTCTACCTCTTATAGGTATTTTAAGAATAGTCCATAAAGTATGTAAACCTTTGAGATTGGTTTCTCACTCAGCATAATTTCAAGATTTATTCAATCTTATTTTATCAATAGGTTGTTCCTTTTTATTGCAGAGTAATATTCCACAGTGTGGATACAGCTAATCTGTTTAACTATGTACTCAGTAAGGACATCTGGGTTGTTTCTACTATTGGCTATTACAAATAAAGCTGCTATACACTTATGTACAGGTTTTTGTGTGAACATAAGTTATCATTTCTTTGGGATAAATGCCCAAGAGTGCAATCACTGAATAATATAGTAGTTATACATTTAGGTTTTAAAAGAAGTGCCAAACTGTTTTCCAGAGTGGCCACAATATTTTACATTTCCCCCAGTAATGCATGAGTGATGCAGCTTCTCCACTACCCTCCTTAGCACTGGGGGATGTTACTATATTTTGGCCATTCTGATAGGTATATAGAGATTATTTCCACGTGGTTTTTAATTTGTATTTCAGTAATGGCTAAGGATGTCGAGTATCTTTTCAAGTACTTATTTCCCATCTGCATATCCTCTTTAATGACATGTCTGTGTCTTTTGCCCATTTTCTGACTGGATTTTTAAATTTACTGTTGAGTTTTTTCTTTTTTTAAAAAGATTTTATTTATCTGACAGAGAGAGAGAGAAAGAGCACAAGCAGGGGGAGCAGCAGGGAGAGGGAGAAGGAGAAGCAGGCTCCCTGTTGAGCAGGGAGCCCGATTCTGCGCTTGATCCCAGGACCCTGGGATCATGACCTGAGCTGCAGGCAGATGCTTAACCGACTGAGCCACCCAGGCACCCCTACTGTTCAGTTTCGAGAGTTCTTTACATATTACAGATAATAGTCTTTTGTTGGAATCCAAACAATGTGACCGGATTTAATTTTAATTAATGTAACAGGTCTGATCCACTTAAGAGCTTTCTAAGGGCAAACTGTAAACTACCTATGAGGAGGGCATAGCCCAGGAACATTCTCAAAGTTAGAGTACTAAGTACTGGGGGCAAAGCTCCAGGAAGGTCAAATATCCTTTGAAGTCATGGTCATAGCCCTGCTTTATCATTGGCTCAATGGTTAAGCTCAATGAAAAAGGGATAAAAAGGTAAAGAACATATGGAGAGAAACAAATCTTCCCCCTCCTCCTATTTCCTTCCATGTATAGGGACCTTCATTACCAACTAGCAACTCACTCCTGGCCTTTTAACCTCCTTGCTCATTCTTCTCCAGGGGAAGAAGTGAACTAATTAATTGGTGTGCTCTGGAAGGAAAAACCAGCTTAGTATGGCCCAGTCCTATGCCCTTATTTGCAATGTATACATTTTGTTCTGCATTTTAAAGACCCAAACCCCATTGCCTCACATGGGGAGAAATACTGTGATCCAGTGCTACCTGTGTTTGGGGTTCAGGACTAGGAACACATTTTCATGCAGATAAAAGCCACATCCTTCACAGTTATATCAATAGCAAGTACCATTCTGATTTCATCTCTCATTCTCTTGTATGTTCACTTCCTTTAGAACTATTGTTGAGATGGGTGTTACTTATTGCACCCCCTTCAAACCTTAACATTAAAATTAAAAAATGGACAGGGGCACCTGGGTGGCTGTGGCTCAGGTCATGATCCCAGGGTCCTGGGATTGAGTCCTGCATCGGGCTCCCTGCTCCACCAGAAGCCTGCTTCTCCTTCTCCCGCTCCCCCTGCTTTTGTTCCCTCTCTAGCTGTCTCTCTGTGTCAAATAAATAAAATCTTAAAAAAAAATTAAAAAATGGACAAAAATCCAACTAAAAATATATTGTAAGAGTTAATTTTTTATTACGGACATCTGGGTATACTTGTTATCACATAAAGTTATTGTTCAAACTTATACCTTATTTGTATAATCTTAAATCCTAACACAAATTTGAAGTACTGTCCAATCAAAAAGCATAAACTATATAAATACTGATTTAAAAGTGTTTTTTTAAATTATACAATTACTATCTTTTGAGTTTAAGAACTAGAAAATTCCTAAAATCAAATTTACATTTTGATCTTCATGTTTCTTATTATATACTATGTAGAGTTGACCCATGAATGGGTTACAACTATCTGGGTCCACTTACATGTAGATTTTTTATACTACAGTAGTATAAATGCATTTTCTCTTCCTTCTGATTTTTTTTTCTTTTCTCAAGCTTACTTTACTGTAAGAATACAGTATAGAATACATATAACATATAACATACAAATATGTGTTAGCTCTTTGTTATCAAGGCTTCCAGTCAAGAGGAGACTATTAGTAGTTAAGTTTTTGGGTAATCAAAAATTATATGCAAATTTTCAATTGTGCAGGGGGTCAGCATCCCAATTCCCATGTTGTTCAAAGGTCAGTATCAGTTGGATTCATATGGACCACCTTCATGAATATTTGCATTACTAAATCACAAGGAATCAAAAGGAACTGGATATAAAATTCCTTTACAACACAGACCTTGAGAATAGAATTATATCAATATTTAATTTATAAATGTGTACATTCAAATATAAAAAATAATCATTAAAGAATCATTTTAATATATAAAAAATGTTTATGTAATGTATTACAACAAATAATGCCATGTATTTTCACTATGAAGTATCTGAATATGGTATGAATAGTTAGTAAAACCTATAAAAAATTTTAACAAACTTCATGAAATGTGTTTTAAGATGCAGTTAAACAAGACAAACTAAGATTTAAACATGCTACTCATCTTAATACATCCCCCCCCACATCTTTTACATGAATTATTCTAGAAAAGGACATGACTGAAACTTAATTTTCTTCCAGAGTCATGACTAGTTTAAAATACTAGCTCTTAAGATAAATTTAAAATAAATTACAAACTTGAAAAGGTACTTTGAAGGCTATAATTTAAAAATGAACATAAACAACGGTGGTACATAAAACTTCACAACTCCCCTTACCTGGCTACACCGGCTGATAGCTCAGGTACCACCACCCTTCGACTCCAAGCTACCAGATCCCGCTCTGTGGCTATTTCACTTCTTGGTGCATTGCTGTGCATTTGCCGTACACCTTCAATTTGTCCACTACGCCTTAGTCCTACATTTGGTGGTGAATGAACCTCTGAGGTAGAACTTACAGAGCCTAAGTGAAAAATATGGTAAGTTCTATTTAGAAACATTAGCTTAACAGAAAACAAAATCTATATTATCTTCCACATGAAACTTTATATTATGGCAAACAATTAAATTACCAAATCAGGAACCAAACCACAGGCAACAGTTTAATGAAAACAAAACATGGCTATTCAGTTAATTAGATAATGAATCATAACTGTTGACAGAATTAACATGTAAAATCATTAATTTTTAAAAATGCTTCGTATTTTGGGAAAACTATGTAATAAGCAAAAACAGACAAAGCCAAGAATATTTATGGTTCATGAATTTGCTTAAACTTTTCTCTGAAAATAATATGTGACAATAAGGGCAGTGAGATATTTGAGAATGTGGAGTGGATTCCATACATTAACGAATAAATTTATTTTTAAAGTTTTTTTAGGTCCTACATGTTTACTCTAGGAAATCTGGAAGAATATATATATTTAAAGCCCCATTATCTAGAGCTGGAAACCTTAAGAACATTTTCTTAGACATCACATATTTTTAAAAACATGATCATTCTGGCAGCCTAATGTTTCATTTTATGGATGTGTCATAATTTGTTTAATCACTTCTTTACTGTTCAGAGTTTAAACTGTTACAATTTTTTAAATATTTCACTTAAAGCAATCCCGCCTTACCTCTACTTAAACGGCTGGTATTACTGATACCGGCTTCACTAGAACGTCTCAGGTCTTGCTCCTGTTGTAGTCTTTGAATCATGCTGTCCAATGGGCTGATCTCCTGGTTTGCTTGCTGACTTAAAACTTGGTTCAGTCCTATATAATACCACACAAAATGCTAAGGACACTTTAGTCAACTAGTCAAACCATTTTACTAATTAAACTCACTGAGTCCAGAATTAAACATAAATTTTGCTTCAGTACAAGACCTAAAAAGATCTAAAATGATTAACTTGAAATACACATACATACACAACCAGGAATATGCTAACTCAATCCTAATTTATTACAAACCATGACAAGGATGATAATAAGGTTTACCAAGTGTTTATGATTCAGGCACTCATATTATCCCCACAACAATGCAATTAGATACATATTATTAACTCCACTTATAGATGAGAACCAAAATAACTACTCAATGTCACATATCTAGTAAATGGCCAAGGTGGGATTTCATCTTAGACCAGTTTCTTTTAAAAAAGGCAAATCTGATTACCCACCTTCTCAAAAACCAAAACAAAAAAACCTTTATTGCTTCATTTATTCAGCAAATTCTTGAGTGTCTATTATGTGTTAGGAACTATATACCAAAGAAGTAAGGATGCAGTGGTGAATAGGACATCAAGATCCTTGACTTCAGGCAGCTAACATTCTAATGGGAAAACTGAACAATAAACCCTTATATAAATGCAGACTATGAAAAATGTTAAAGATGATGACAGAAAGAAAATGGGGAAGAGAGATGGGAACTGCTTATGGTGAGTCAAAAAAGTCAAAAGAAGCCCTCCTTGAGAAGGCAGCATTTGAGCTAAGACTGGAAGAAAAAGAAGAATTAGTTATCCATGTGAGGAGCAAGAAAAAGAACACCCCAGATAAAATGCAAGAGTTGGGACAAAGTCTCTGAGGTAGGGTGTAACTTGGTGTATTTTAACCCACCCTAATTTTCCAGCATCAACTTTCACCTCTACCAGTCACATGGGACCACTTGACTCTTCTGCCCTCCTAACAGGACAAATACCTTTATGCTTTGGAGCTTTTATCCATAATACTCTCAATTCAAGTATAAACGTGATAAACACTAACTTATCCTTCAAGCACCAACTAAAATGGCATCTCTCTGATATTTCCTCTGTGAAATCTTTCCAGACTACCCCTGAAAGAATTAGTTGCTATCCTCTTTCATTTCCTCAAACAATATATACATCTTAGTACTCAGCCCAATATAAAAAGGAAGCCCACTAGTTAGTTCTGCAAAAGCATGGAATGCCTTATTTAATACTATAATTCTAAATCTAGCACAATGGTAGGCATGTAAAAATGTTTAATCCTGCTGAATGAATTAAAAAAATGTGTATTAGGAGATATATGAAAAGCACTGCCATGAGAGAAGGGAGCAATTAATAGCAGGTGAGTGGGTATATAAGAAATGCTGTGATGAGATCAGACTTTTAGAGTGGGCTGGGAACAGAAGATACAAAGGACATTCTGACATGAAGAATTAGTAGTAAAGAAGATAAAAGGAAAGGGAAAGTTACATGTCTTAAGCACATAATGTTATTTCATTTTATAAGAGAAAACTAAAATTCAATGGGATAAAATAAGTTGTCCAAGGTCACAAAGCTAGAAAGTAGTAAAAGTAGAGGTAAAAGTTAAAATGCCTGTGGATGCTTCTTTCCTGTTATGCTGCTGGGAAAACATCTCATGTTTGAACATCAAGGAGTACTCTGATATAGCTAAAGTTGTAACTGAAGAAGCATATTTAAAGTGTATTACTCAAATATAAATGTAACTGTAAATATAACACAACTGCATTCAAGCCAACTTATCATTACAGTATCCATTATCTATTTTTACCTAATTCTAAGGGATTTCCCAAATTTTATCATAGATCTAGATTTACAAATAGAAAAATAGTTACAAACGATGCTAAAGATTTTTTTCAAAAAGTATTTTTCTTCTCTCCTATATTGTACTTGGTTAAGTCAAAAATAATGCAAGAAATGATGTTTTACCCTGAATTCTGTGACCTAGAACACTTAAATATTCTATGACTCACTTTGAAGCCATAATTACTGTTACAGGTTCTCTTGTGGTCCTGTACTAATAACTGGCGTCTAATTCATTTTCAAGATCAGGTACACTTTTTTACTACTAGGGAAGCTCAGTAAGGAAGAAAGAACAATGGACTAAGAGTCAGAGCTGCATTTGAGTCCCTGTGGTTCCATACAATTTAACTTAAACAAAGACATATTTTGTTAAGTTTTCATTTTCTCAAATTTTAGAATAAGGATACCATAAGGATTAAATGAGATATTATACATGAAAGTCCTATACAAACAGTTAAATGGAGGAAAAAAATTAATAGCCATGATAATTAAGTAGCACTGATATTTTAATAAATGAGTCCTTTCCTTATTTCCCTGTGCCTGAAACCTATTTTGAGACCTGGGCAAGATCTGATTCTAGCCAGTTCCCCTCTAAGAGACTGAAGACATTTATCTTTATTTCAGTCCTATGATCAAGTCTTCTCTAATAACTGAGACTTCTCTAATCTGAATACCTGCCTAAATTTCTTGAATACTACCTGTTCTTAGATTCTTTGAGTTCATGCTATGTCCATGTATGAGACATTTTAGTTTCACAGACATTCAGGCCTGCTGGATTGTACTACTCTCTGCAAGTAGCAGCAGAAACTATTCTTCTAATACTTCCCCTCACCCTCCATCCTGAGTGCGCATGGCCATCTTCAAGAGCAGCCCTTCCTACCCAGTATGTTCATCTTCATTGCAATTTCATGCCCAATCCTTAAAGGAAAATAAGAGATGGGTCTTCTATAACGCAGTGAGACTGGTTTTTCTGCACAGCTTACAGAATCTAAATTATTTAAAAGTTACTCATTATATATTAATCTCTTATGTGTCCTTTACATATATCTACTTAGAAATTTTGTCCATTATGCTAGAGTTCAGAACTTAAAATATTTTCATAAATTTTTCTCTTTTTAAGAAGATTTATTTATTTACTTGAGAGAAAGAATGAGAACACAAGCAGGATCGGGCAGAGGGAGAGGGAGAGGGAGAAAGAATTCTGAAAGTTTTCTGAAGCACTGAGGGCGGAGCCAGACTTGGGGCCCGATCCTGTGACCGTGAGATCATGACCTGAGCTGAAACCAAGAGTTGGATGCTTAACTGACTGAGCCACCCAGGCGCCCCTTCATAAATTTTTCTAATTTAAAATATAACAAAGATTCATAAATTACAAAAATGGTTTAACCTTTTATAACGGGTTTCCATTACTTTCACTAATTAGTAAATTAGTGCTACATCTCTTGTCAAAAGGGAAGGTCTGCAGACCTTGTCTCCATTTCAACTCCCTTTTAATTCTTCAACTAATTTGACTTTCTTCCTCCATTATTTCACTAAAACAGCTCTCAACACTTTCATTTCTACCTTACTTAAAATTTTTAAAAGTTGATCTCTTCTTAAAACAATCTTCAACATGAATAAGACTATCTAGTCTTTCTCTCTTTCACATCATACTACTTTTCCCTTTAATAACATTTATCACAAGTTTTAACTATTTGTTTATAACTGTGTTTATTAATCTTACTCCATGAGAACAAGGATTGTGTCTGATTAATTCCCTACTTAATATCAGTTTAGCAGGTGTCTAGAGAAGATGAATAAATAAATGACCAAGATTATTGCTTTAATTCTCCAATGTTTCTTAATTATCTTATAGTACATACTTCAGCATTATTTAAAGGACTTTAAAGAAATTCTTAAAAATAATTTTACTTCTCATTTGTCCAAAACAGTAACAAAGCTTTACCCAATTAGCAATTTTATAAGACATCATTAGAAATGGAAAATTTGGTTGTCTATGAAAATGAGCATTTACCTGAGGAAGTTACTCCCATCTGAGGGATGAGTTGCTCCTCCCTGCAATTTTCACGACCAGGAACTAATCTCTGGTATCTTGATGGATGAGGATTACCATCAACGTCAACCAAAAAAGGGGGAGGCATGAGATGAGGTGCTTGCTGAGTCTGTTCATCTAATACAAAGTTGTTGGCATCACGAATAAGGGGCCGATAATCACTATGAAAGAACATCTGATCTGCTATCTGTAAAAAGAAAGGCCCATAAAAGATTGGAAAAATAAAAAATTTATCATGATAAATTTCTAATGGAAGGCAATGTCTTTTCTTTTTTAAAGATTTTATTTAGAGCAGGAACACAAGGAGGAAGAATGGGAGAGGGAGAAGCAGGCTTCCGGCTGAGGTGGGAGCGTGATGCGGGACTCAATCCCAGGACCCTGGGACCACGACCTGAGCTGAAGGCAGACGCTTAACAACCTGAGCCACCCAGGCGTCCTGGAAGGCAATGTCTTAATGTAAATCATGGTATTAAGCAACAACATAAAAATATATTCCTTTCTTGAGTTAATGGTAAATAAGTCTTTATTACACTTCTACATTAAATTTTATGATCAGAAAAGCAGATTCTTTGAATTTTCTCTGCAACAAGGAAAAGACTGTATACATAAAATACTAACATGACAATTAAAGTTGTGTAATTTCAAATTAAATGATAAAATCAAATCTAGGTATAAATCATTCAGTGGTACTACTACTACTTTCATAGGGCTACCATGCATTATCTTATTTTTTAAACTATTAAACATAGTAATTACCTGTTTCAGCATTTTGCAAAGGGAAATCAATTAATTTATTCTTTGAATTAAACTCTAATGAAATCACTTATACAATTTAAGAAAACCCTTAAGTATACAATAAATGCTGACTTATATCTTAACATAAAAATCAACATGGCATGATTTTCCAAGAGTTGATAAGCATTTTCTCTAGATTTTTCGAAATAACACAAAATTATTTATACGAACTCATGCTTGACACATCTGTAACTTCAAAAAAAATTTTTTTTTTTAAGATTTATTTATTTGACAGAGAGAGACACAGCGAGAGAGGGAACACAAGCAGGGGGAGTGGGAGAGGGAGAAGCAGGCTCCCCGCAGAGCAGGGAGCCCGATGTGGGGCTTGATCCTAGGACCCTGGGATCATCACCTGAGCCGAAGGCAGACGCTTAACGACTGAGCCACCCAGGTGCCCCTGTAACTTCAAGATTTTATTGGTTTATATGGAATTTCTTAAACTATGAACTATTTAATTTTTAGGTCTTTTAATCACTAAGATAAGCTCTTCAATATTTAAAAATATTAGCTACTATCAGTAGGCCATATATTTTTGAGAACCTCATGAAAGCCACAGATTTATACCCCAGATTAAGTGCTCTTTATCCATATAAATAAAACATTTTACATAATTTCAGAGTCTCTCTATGGACCACCTCTCCCATTCCAGGCTTTAGAATTACAATCTAGATTGCTCATGCAGGCTACGTAGAGTTATTCCTTCTGAAATGTAAAGATGATTAAATAAGATCTGATTATTATCTGATGTCTGTTACAGAGAACAGGACTTTAAGAACTGCTGTGTTCACCATCTTCTCTAAAACTTAAGTCTCTAGAATACTTAAAATATGAGTGATTCTTCAAGCTTGAGACTGAAGCATAAAAATGATGCTCATCCACTCCCGAAGAAATACAACCCCTAACCATCCATGAATTTAAAACAAATAACCAGAAAAAAAAAAAAAAAAGATAAAGAATCATCATACGCTACCTTGTCATATTTACTACTGGAGCCAAAGCCAAAAATTAGAAGATGTCCATGAGAGTCTGTGCATGCAAAATGCTGACCATCAGGAGAGCATTTGCAGTCAAACACCGCGCCATGTCCTTGGCCTTCAATCTGAAATATATTTAACCAACAATCAGAAAGTTGCCATTAAATATAAAGAACTGGTCACTGCCGTTACTAAAATTTTATGATAAAAGAGATGTAGAAGTATACATCCCAATGAAGTGAAGGTTAAGTATAACAGAGTACAGTAACAAAATTTGTGAATATTCATCAAAAGTGCCAGATTAATAGCCTTGAAAAACAAAGTGTTCTCTTTATGCACACACAGACCAGACACAATTCAGGAAATAAAACATCAATTTCCCCCACCCAGAGAATTCTGCTTCATGTCTTTAAGCCACATTTACAATGTAATTGCACCTTACATTTCATCTTATCTGCATTTAATCAAGCCCTTTCAGCAAAGGCTGACAATGTGTCGTAACTGTAGCGATTTTTTTTGTTAACTCTCGGAAGTAGTAGCCAGAGATCATTGCTCACAAGACACTAATTTTTTTTCTTTTTGGTCATAAATTCCCTTGATGGTCTGACTCATCTTTTAAATGGTGAATTTCAAAGGTTAAAGAAAAGGTTTTTTTTACCTGATAATTGTTTTCTGTTTTCCAGTTCCATTAATCCAGAACGAATGGGTTTCTCCCTGCAACCTGTCAATCAAACAGAGGTGGCCAATCACCACTCTGAATTTTTTTTGCTCTCAGTGCTTCTTCAGACTATGTTCCAGTTGAAACTTCTGTAGCAGTGTTCTGAAAGAGGTAAAAGTTCTAGCCTATCTAAAGCACATCTAGGGACTGAATTTCAGAAAACAACTAAAATAGGGAGTTGACTCCCTAACAAATAACAACTAAGGATGATTTTCAACAAATGCGATTGGATTTCTGGATTAGCAGAATCGGAACACACACACATTATCAGGTAAGAAATACCTCCTCTCTGTTCCGGTATCCACTGATCTAGAACAGCTGAATTTTACTAGCAATATCCCAATATTCCAGGAAATGCTTAGAAAAGAGAGAAGTGGTAATTTTCTTTCTTTAGTGTTAAAAATATGGCATAGGGATGGATGTGCAGTTCACCAAATATGGAAGTGAAATTAAAATTTAGAAGAAGAATAGTTGATTTCTCAAGGAAAGTTTGCTTTTTGGTCAAAAGAGAAACTATCACTCTAAAAGAAAGGGTCCTGCCTAAGAAGTTAATACATTATCACAAATGGGATTGACTCAAAAAGAAAACTAGTTTCTCTTCAGAGCTTGTTGAGAAGAGGGAGAGTGCACTGGTGTAATGTATTTTGGATAGTGATAATAATGGAAAAGAAATAAGAGTAACTTTCCTTAAAATTCATCATATGGAAGAAAATCAGTAAACTTATCTAATGACTGATACACTTAAAGATTTACCATACAAGCAAGAAAATGAATCATAAGTGAAACAGGATCATCTCTTGGTTGTGAAGAAAGTTGGAGAAGACAGCACACAAAGGGAACTGATTCCAAGTCTAGCTTAAAACCATTCAAAAAACAAGAAAGAACTATTTCTCCAAATTAGCATACAAGCATTAGTAAATATATATATCTTAGAAATTGCCAAAAATGAGATACTGTACAAATGCAGAAATGTCAGGATTCAGGTCTCTTTTTCAATGTTTTCTAGGCAAAATAAAAAGTTATATGAACTATTATAAATAACCACCTGAAAAACTTTTATCTCTAGAAATAATTTTACATCAAAAATTCAAGACTTAAGAATTCAAACTGCCTTGGCTATGTGCTGTTTTTATTTATTTCAGTTCAAAATTTCATAAAAGATGAAAAACAAAAAAGCAACAACTTATAAATCTACTTTAATATAATAAATGCTTCCAGAAATGTAATACTACTGCTATAAGCCTATGGTTACAATTCTAAGTACACAGTAGAACAGAGGAAGAGATCTGAAAGAAGTCTGACACAGCAATGACAAAGGATATTTGATAGATGTTCATGAGCATGGTAGCCTTCACATGATGTTTAGGCAACCTTGCTCTACATATTTTCTTTCTTTTTTTTTATTGTGGGGCAGGCTACATGAGGATCAATCAACCCTATTTCTATGCTATCTACCAATGTTGCCAAATTTACAGTTAGATCTTTAAAAGAATACTTTGGAGATGTAGAACTTATAAAACTCTAAAAAAGCAAAGAAAAAATATCAACCCTATTGAAGATCACTATGTAACACATGACATTTGAATATGGCAGGACAGTATCAATTTTCTTGGTATAAAGCATCTGTGTAACTTCAAAGTGACTTTTATATAGACAAAAGTTCATTTCCACAACATCAGAAAAAAGTAAAGGCACATTATTTGCCATTATTCACTAAAGGAGGCACTGAAAGAATCTACTCATGAATCAATCAGAAAAGCTGTCCATAATCTTATTAAAATGTCAAATTTATCTTTAGTAATGGCTCCTCTGATAATAAACACGTAACTACAAAATGCAGACTAGGCTTTCCAGCTGATACAAAGGAGGAAAATACTTTACTTTCTCTATATAACTAAATACACTGTAACTGTTTTAACGATTATACTGTGATTAAGGTAAGTCAAACAAAAAAGAAAGTAAAGTATTTCTCTCTGAAAATGATTTCACCTTCTTAAATCAGGCTTAAAGTATATAGAAGAATTCCAAAAGAAAAAAAATTTAATAATGAAGGCACTATAATTCATGTATAACTAGAAAACAATGAAGCTTATATTCAAAACCGAAAAGGATGAAGGGGGGCCTGGCTGGCTCAGTTAAGTGTCCCACTCTGGGTTTCGGCTCAGGTCATCATCTCAGGGTCCTGAGATCAAGCCATGAGTCCAGCTCCGCCCTCAGCATGGAGTCTGCTTGCCCCTCTCCCTCTACTCCTCCTCTGGCTCTCTCTCTCTCTCGAATAAATAAATGAAATCTTAAAAAAAAAAAAAGATGAAATATCTTCTCTATCCACATTAAAGTTATATGGGCCTATCATAAAATTAAATGTAATGCTTAACCCAAGAATAAGTCAACATAAAATTTAATATTGTACATAACTTATGCCAGTATTTAATGTATGCTGTAGAAAATTAAAAAACAGAAGAAAGGATAATAATGACAAATATTCCAAGTGAATTTTAGATGAACTACCTCTCATAAAATCAAGCACGCTTAAGAAACATTTGGGACATATGTAAATACAGACCACACAATAAAACTCATACACATTAAATCACAATTAAGGAAAGCTGAGAAAATCCAGGCTGTAGTATTTACCAATAAGTGCAAAAATTTCAAAGAGAATAGGAGTTAAAATAAAAAATTTATTCAGCAATTATGATACAGAAGTTATTTTATTTTATTTTTAAAGCAAGAGATGAAAGGATTAGATGAGTTGTAATCCCTCGGTAGGGAAATTCTCAGACTGACTAAAGAATTCTAGAAATAATTCCAAGAAATTAGTACAATGTTATTAATTTAGAGGTTTATAATGAATTTGAAAAAATACAAAAAGAGCTTTGATGATGATGTCATATTTAATGAAGTATGCTAGTACCTTTTTCAAGGCAGAATACTATCCACAACTTCTAATGTAATTTTTGTGAAGTAGAAAGATGAATAATTAAAGATGAATAACTAAATGAGGCCTATGACCCAAGAGACTTCTCTGGTAATGGGCAAATCACCTAATCTCTCTGTGAAATGACAGAGATAATTTAAATGGTCATCAGAGTCATACTTTGTTCTAAAATTCTAACATCTGATATTCAGGAAGACTTTTTGGAAGAATTAGACAAATCTGGAAATGAGGTACGCTAAAAGTACTAGAATGCAGACTAAAATTACAGGGTCTAAATTACATCAATCATGAGGATCATACATACAGGTGAATATGACAAGTATGTCATCTTAGAGAGACTCAACAGAAATCAGGAACATGGGTCTTAAGCAGAATCATCCTGTTAAGGAATTATTCCATGTCTATGACCAGGGTCAATTTTTTGATCTCATTTTTTTTTTTTAAGATTTTATTTATTTGAGAGAGAGCACAACCGGAGGGGGGAGGAAGGGGGTTGGAGGGACAGAGGGAGAGGGAGAAGCAGGCTCCCCGCTGAGCAGGGAACCCGATACAGGGCCTGATCCCAGGACCCTGGGATCATGACCTGAGTCAAAGGCAGATGCTTAACTGACTGAGCTACCCAGGCGCCCCAACAGTGGTATATTTTTTAAAAATGAGTGAGACTGGGGCGCCTGGGTGGCTCAGTTGGTTAAGTGTCCAACTCTTGATTTTGGCTCAGGTCCTGGTCTTAGGGTCATGAGATTGAGTCCCACCTCGGGCTCTGCGCTCAGCAGGGAGTCTGCCTGAGATTCTCTCTCTCTCTGCCCCTCGCCTGACTAGCACATGCATTCTCTCTCTAATAAAATCTTAAAAAAATAAATAAAAATATACCACTGTTTAGAAGGGAGCATCTTACCTAGAAATTTAAAATAAAATTAAAACTTTTATTTTTTTAAGATTTTATTTATTTATTTGAGGGAGAAACAGACTCCCTGCTGAGCAGAGAGCCCAATGTGGGACTCAACCCCAGGACCCTGAGATCATGACGTGAGCTGAAGATAGACACTTGAACGACTTAGCCACCCAGGTGCCCCAAATTACGAATCTTTTAAGTACCCTAATGATTCTGTGATATAGACTCATATCCCAAGAATAAAGCAGCTGGGAAATGGAATTTATGCTAAGAATCACCCTTACAAAATCCTTATGTATAAAGAACTTTTAAAGTTTATCTACCTGGGGAGAAATAAACTTAATTAAGAAAATACACTAGATACTGTTGTCATATATGATTAAAATATGCTTTTGCCACTTTCTAATCATTATGATAGTTACAGTATAAACAAAAAATATATCTTAAGGGAAGTTATCCACTCTAATAGTCTGGATGTCACCAAACTACTTTAAAAGACCTTTAGTAAATGAATGCTTCCTTTAATACTGAAGATTCTTTAATTTATAGTTAACATTATTACATATGAATTAAAGAC